CTACTTCTTTAATCCACTACTCCTACTGCCATTGTAGACCACGCTAAATGGATTTATTTCCTTACTCCAGCTTACTCCATGTATTGTAGACCAGCCTTTTCTTCTCCTACGACGTGCGTCGCTCAAGAGTACTTAACCTGGAAGCGGGCCTGAGATTAATGTACAAAGCGCGACGTGGATCTTTTCCTAAGGACTTTTTAAATGCACCCCTAAAAGCAATCGTTTCGCCGATAATCTTACCCCACGTTGCGCGCGCAAAGTTGGACGATTTCGCGTGACTGTGGACTTCCTTTCCTTCTGGACGCAACGTGGACCCGGCGGAACGCCACGCTTTCGAACGCCGTTAGCCGAGTACAACCGGAAGTGGACGAAATTGAAGATCACTGAAGTTAGCGAAGATCGGAGGGGTGCATAGGCATCGAGGGGTACATCCAGTCCGGCGACGCCACGTGATTTGACTAACCGCGTCCAGCTGCGAGCTCAGCTGATCCCGCGGCCCTTCGCTGGCTCGAAAAGGGCGCGAAATTTGACCGGCCAAACTCGACTTGTAATATAAAGTATACCTCGAGGTTTACGTATCTTTTTCAAATGTACCAAAGTATCAAATTTGAATCCCGTAGAATTAGCAAGCGCGATTGCTTTTTGTTGTATTTTTAGCTAAGCCACTTCTCATTCAGATTCTCTGAGCAATGGCAAGTTCCTCGATGAAAAGTTCGAGTGTCGTTACAAATTTTCAATTTACATCTTGATATTGGTATTACTATTGATTGATGCGTTTCATATTGACGACAAGCACTGATCTCTCGAAGAGGTGCGAACAGATTTCTTCACGGGATTAACGAGATATAGAAAGATCAAAGTGCTCAAAGCCAACAGTCACAGTTGTAATTTTCTGCCTTTTATTTAAAGCCATGATAAAAATTATGAGTTTACAACAGTGTTGGTGTTAACAACGCATGTTGTTCACTTTTTAGTTGGCTGCTTGGCAGGGGCAGCGGTCTTCGTGGTATCTTTCTCAGTTTTAGCTTTCGGAGCCTTCTTCACGGTCGTTTTGTATGCAGTTAGTTGCTCTTTCCTCCTTGCCAAGAGCGCCACAGTCTTGGACGTCCGCGATTTCTTCGACAATTTTATCTAAAATACACGAAGTCAGTGTTTCGAATACAAACAATCGAACGTAACTTAATTAATTTCACCTTTCAATCCATATTTTGGATCTTATTATTTGAAATATTCTCATTGCGCTTTCTTATGTACATATCTTTAAGAAAAAAAAATTGCATTTTCTTCACTTCAATATCACCGCGTAATTCCAAGACGTGAGACAGATTACACGGCTGCACTTACGCCTCGTTTTTCAGCGACAAGAAGATTCCTTTCGCGCTTACGCTTCTGCGCGGTCAGGATGGCGGCTCGTTTCAGAACTGCGGCATACGGATTGAGACGCAGCATGGCCCGCGTGTTGGTCAACGGGTTCAGTTTCTTCACTCTACGCACCACCTTCTTCCTGTAATTGTATCGAATAAGATGCATCAATCATATTATCTATCGTGAATGAAGAGATAGAATAAACGATGTAGCGTTTCAGTACGCTGAATTGAATTTAAAGCGAAAGAAATACGTCTGCAGATTTAATGATCGGGACATGTATAATTTCTTTTCGCTGGTAATCACCTAGGCGCTCTCAAGACTTTACGGATTTCCTCAGACTTCAGCAGTCTGGACAGATCCGTATTCGCCATTTTGGGGAACGGCAAGTTGTATCCTTTTTTGAGCTGCGACTCTTTACGCCAGGTTCCGTAAAGGGCGTCCAATTGTTCGAAAGCGGACTTGGTCCAGATTACGAAGCGCCCGACATGGCCACCAGGCGCCAATTTCAGCAGATTCATCTTGTTGATGTTCATCAGAGAGACGCCAGGGATATTGCGGAATGCTTTACGAATACCCTGGAAATCATTATAGCGTGATTTATGTAATAATCTTTCTTAATCCTCGCAGACGCTGATCGAGTTCGTGTAGAAATGTAAGTAAAATTTGTTTTAATTCACGTCCAACTCACGTTTATAGATTGAAATATATGTACACACAGGGTGTCTGACACAGGAGGACCCCTAAATATATTATTCGACAGCTATTGCGAATTTTGCAAAATGGTACATGACTTTTCATCTCAGTCTAACCCAATCTACCACCATTTTTCGTAGGGGTCCTCTTGTGTCAGACACCACGTATCTTTTATACAAAAAAAAAACCGCTTACCTGATCTTGACCGTATACAATCAAGGGCCCACGTCGCTGAATGCGTCGGCGATTACGCATTTTACCTTTACCAGCGCGGAAACGTTGAGATTTGTACACCTAGCGCATAAAATACAATTCAAAATTAGAAAAGTCTATAATTGAAAAGAAACCCCACTCGCGTAGATTCGAGATCAACTGATTGCCGCGTATATTTAAAATTCTATAATAAAAACATTTTTATGGAGGAAACTGTTTGGTGATTCATACCCCTTGCTAGCGAGCGTAAATCGACTAGTAAAGAACGCCTGAACACCATATTTCTTTAGCACCTGTCAGGAGCATCCGAGCTAACTCAGCTTCAGCAGGGATGCGGACATTCGACGGTGCAAACAAACGTGGCGGCGCAAGGCGACGCGAAAAAATTCCCCACTAAAAGTTAGAAATTAATAAAACCTTTTCGATATCATTCCAGGCCTTGATGCGTCTCAAGAAGATGACGGCTTGCTTGGTTTTCGTGTATTCTTGGATCTTGTCGGTAACGACCAGCGGAAATTCCGAGACCTCCTGGATCATGTGTCCTGTGTACAAATACCAAAACACGCAACTGTAAAGCCACGTCTTCCAAATCGTTGGAATACAATGAAGCTGCGAACTGAAATGCTCCTCTCGAAGAGCACTTGCGCACTCAACGTTTCCTTTGTGACACAAAGTATCGTCTGCGCAAAGAGGAGCACACACGCACCTTTGGATTGCACGAGCGCAGGGACACCGGAGGCGGCGATCGCGGAGACGAGGGCGTAGCGTTTCTGATTGACGTTGACGCGATGGTGCCAGCGTCGCCACGGCTTGGTTGGGGCGAACATGCGCCCGCCTCGGCACATGTTACCGAAGGCACCCTGACCGGAACGGTGGGTGCCACCACCGCGTACGCGGGGAATACGGGCGACGGCGCGTCCGGTACCCCATGATTCCGCGGAGGTTTGATGACCTGCGAGAGAAACAAGGACGTTCATCAACATCCGCACGTTCTTGCTATTCAAATGCATGTGGAACTAATGAGACATAGGCATCGGGTGTTTACCAGCTTCTTTAGAGACGCAGTACGGCTGTCTGCTGTTGGTAGAAATCAGCTGGTGAACGACGTTCACGATATCTGGCCGGATCGGTGCCTTGAAGACAGACGGCAGGGAAAGCGTGTCGCCCGACGTCTCATTCTTGTCAGTGTACACCGTGATAAGCGGCCGTGCTGTTGATAACGACTAAAAAAAAAAGAATATGCGTTAACAATACAGACGAGTACATCTAATGATAGCGTTTGTTCACGCGAATAGACGACCGTACGTTTTTCTTGTCTAACAATTGGGCCCATGTTTTAGAACAGGATTTAGATCCTCTTTTATCGACAAAAGCGCCTCTAAAAGTAGCTTAAAGCCAATCAGAGAACTTATTAGACATCTTCAGAGGCGATTCTTGCGATAAATTTATGAGATAGGATTCTAATGTGAGGCAGTAGGCATTCAACATCCGAATTGGATCGTAAATCTTTTCTCGCAACGACTGCACGATCTAACAATCAATTTTTTCAATACACAGATTTCACTCCAAGGACAACAAATTCACGGCGAGATCAACAGACGACGCCTATTAATTTAGCAGAAACTTCATTGTCTCATATTGGGAGCCTGTCTCATAATAGGAGACTTCCCCTCTGCTACTGTATGGCGCATGCCACAAAAAAAAATGCGGTCGGCCAACACGAGAGTAGAAAGGCAGGAGTCGTTCCCGTTCGCGAAATTCCTTCTCGCCCGGATTCGCGCTCGTTGGCGACACAGCACGAGCCTCCCGTCGGGTCGTCGCGCGACACCGCGTGGCCCGGAGCTCGTAACACCCTCGACATCCGTCGCAATGGCGGACATGTTGCCGCGACACGTGCACCTGCTAACCGAGGAACCGTAGCCACGTGCCGACGGGACTCCGCGCCGAATCCTCGCGTTCGCGCGATCGCGGTGACGCGGACAAATTTCCCGGCCGTTACCAGGAGACGGCGCGTAAAGTCGAGCCGCGCGAACGCGCTCGCGAGGACGTTACAGATGGTGGGCCGGAGAAGGTTGGAAACGACGGTCGGGAATGGGCGCGATCCACGGCGGCGAGATCGAGCGGGCAGATCGCGCGAAAACAGCGGGAGGAAAAGCGGCGACGCGCGCTTGCACGCGGGATATCGTGTTCCTTACCATCTCGTGTCCTTCCTACTACTTTTCACGCATCAGACGTAAACCTGACCAGACCGCGCTCGCACGACCTGTCTGGTCACGGATAGAAAGGATTGGGTAGAACGGAAGCGACCATGACGCGGTGCGACGGGACGTAACGCGGATGCGCGTCGCTCCGCCAATCGGGGAAATTGGACTCGAGAGGCAATATGGCTGCGAGCCTAAGGGCGGGTTCACCGTGGTTGGTCAATTTTGGTTAAAGCGGGGAGCACACACTTTTGCATAGCTGCATATGCATAGAATCCGTCTAAATAAAAAAGCATGTTATATAAATCAATATGGCGACCGCAGTTATGCAATTTTGTGTGCGATGGCCCTTATTCTTTCCTCCATAATAAAAGAGGATTCAGAATACGGGCCAAGGAGTCGAGAATAGGATAGTTCAAGTGTTCAGAAATTTATCATGTATCCCATGATGTAAGAAGAAAGGTGTGCTACCGCGCACGACCAATCACAAACGCTTCCAAAACGACGCCATATTGGGAAATATCGACCAATAGCGTACTCGCCTTCGCAGCCGTCATCTTCCTCATTATCTTCATCTTCCTCCTGAGATAGGGCGTTTTCCAGCTAGGACACACAAAATTGCACTGTGTTACACCGTGTAAAATTCTTGTTGGAACGGTGAGAGTGTAGGTTTAATTTCTAAAAATCGTACTAGAGGGCATTACGTTAATGGAATAGTACATGTCGCTTATTTTTAACCTTAACTTAACTAACTTTTGTCTCTTTTTAAGGGAACAGAAAGAGACGAAGAGTGAATTAAGAAAATTTCCAACAGTTGCAAAATAAACGTTCTGTTGAATGTAACCATTGTAAATTTAGAACCGTTCGTAACCTTAAACTTCAATCAATGCACAAAGAAAATCGTAAAGTAGCAAAAGCCTGACACAATAATACGTTATGATTTTTTTTGTGCGTTGAATTACTAAGTTTACGTACGGATTTAAGTTTATTCAGAACTTAACATAACGCGTTGTGGAAAAGCTTGTGCGGTAGACCTACCTCTAACGTACGTCTTTGAATCTTCATATACTATTATATTATTTATAGATTATGCTCAAAAGAAATAATACCACAATTTAAATATAAAATTTTCTAAAAGTTGGTTACACTCGGATATTTTACACGCTTGTACTTAGCTTTTTACTGTGTCGAGCAGTGTGACACTGGCTGTGTTCTGCCGAAGTTAGCTAAGAATAAGCGCTTTATGCTGATTGGATAGATCTAGAAGAATAGCTCTATTTCAGCACAGATCTGAAAGTATAATCCAATGAACGCAAAGCGCTTAGCAAGCGCAAACTTCTGCTGGACACAGGCATTGTGTCGTAGTTGAAACACTTTGTGTCGGACACAGTGTTACACTGTGTCGTCTGTGTAACTTGTTGGAAAACGCCCCTAATATGTATCCTACGATTCTTTGACCGTGCATTGTAAATCGAAGAAGTGTATATTGAAAATTATTACATCTATGAGTCTGTTCTTTATTGCTGCACTCCTGAACTAGTGCACACTGGTGCAATGAGTTGGAATGAGAGGTAACCTATTTGTTTTATTTTAACTTATTGCACTAGTTCAGTAATAAAGAACAGGCCTTAAGCCCGCTGCAGACGATGCTATTTTTCCTGCTGGATTGCTTGCAATCTAATAAATTACTATCGTTGCACCATTCAGAACTCAGGATTCCTAGTAATTTACTAAATCGCAAGCAATCCAGCAGGAAAAATAGCATCGTCTGCAGCGGGCTTTATATCTTTTATCTCCGCTCAAAAACGAACACACTTTTGCGCCGTCGCGATGGTAGCGCTGCCGCGGCGAATCCCGCATTTAATCTCGCGGGCTCGATCCATCGAGTCGGCCATCTACGTCAAGTATCCGTCATCGATGACCGTTCGCCGCCGCCGCCGCTGCCGCTGCCGCCGAGTCCTCCGTGAAGTTAGCCCGCGTACCGGTTACGCGTTACGCTGTTCGCGCGTGTAATAACGAAAATTACCTGTGTCCTCTCGTCCGCGTGCCTTCTGCGACTCGATACATCCGAGGACATCGACCCGCGGAGGTAGCACACCACTGGTCTTGTGAAATCGATCGAGGTACGTTACGCGTCCGCGACGTTACGTTGTTGTCTCGCTGAAAAAAAAACATACGCCTCGCCGTTACATCGAATGCCGACCGAATCTTGGCTGGTTTCGAGTAAATCCTCCCCTTTCTTTTCTCTCCTTGGCGATTCCTAAATGTCTCCGTAGAATTCGCGGACTTGGGGCAGGGGGCGGACAATTAAAGAGGGCGAGGAGAGAGAGAGAGAGGGGAACACGCGTTTTCGCGCTCGCAGTAACATTTATTTTCGACTGCGTGCGACGTTGTTGGAACGTCGATATGGTAAATAGAAGTTGTCGACTGCACCTCGCTGCGCCTTCTGCACTCGACGTGGGAGAGGTCGCTCGCGATAGAGAAGGAGAGAAGGCGGGAGAGTCTGAAAGAGTGCAGAAGGTGCGAGCGTGTTCTTTGACAATTGATGACGGAAGCAAGATCTTTTGGTCGGAGGATCTTTTCGCTGGGAGGCTGATAATGAATATAGTCTTCTCGACGGCGCGCTGCGCCGTTGACGGGGACGCTTTTTGAGGTTACGTTAGATCTGTCGTATCGACAGAGTAAGCGCGCGGAACTGCGATTTTCGCACACACTCTCGGCACATTCGGCCAAGCAGTGACTTATCCAAGTGAATTTGTTGTAATTGCACGGGAATTTTGCTAAAAGTTCTCGACGAACTTTGAGGACTTGTTTTGTTTACTTTCTTACCAAAATAACAAAGATACTTGTTTCCTCAAAATTTTAAGGTTGAAATATGAAATTCGGACGTTGATTCCCTCGCACACAGAGATCACTGATTCGACAGTTTAAGAGAAAGAGATATTTATAATTGCACGTTTTTATATTTATTTATATAACATCTAATATTTGAATCAAATAAATGTTAATATTTAACTTTAAGTAAATGCATGCCGACTTTCGATGCAATTCGATTCAGTTTTTAGTAGGAAACGTAAAAATAACCACGTGAAACGTTCACTTTTATTTATTTTATATCGCAACAGAACTGCGATATTTTGCGAAGCGGTACTCGAGTTCAACCCTGCGCGATTTCTCGCGATGTTTTTATCGCGGTCAGTTTCGATGTAACAAACTGATATCGCGTGACAAAAGTACAATCGAGAGCACGTCCTTAGAAAAATTGCGGTGTCTCCCGCCGAAGCGTCGTGCGCACAAAGATTTTTTATTTTCAATTGGAGAAAATGCAGCTCGCTTTCATGCGGGATATACATATACTGTGCGTAACACCGCGTCGTCTAGTCACTAGATGTAGCAAAAATAAGCTCTTTGCTGGAAAAAAAGTGTATGCTATACAGGTTGAGAAATTAAAAACCCGTATCAGATACTAATCTTAAGTTTACTAATCTTGCGGTTAACGGTGTTTGCTCTGATCGATCAAATTTCAATCTAATCTCGGTCACAATCCATAGTCTGATACGGGCTTAAAGTGTAATGCCGATTAATTTCTCGGAATGCTGAAATCGTACGGATAAAATATATCAAGTAACAATTGTACGATTCTCAAGAACATTCAATGGCTATGTTATTTTTTTCCCGGGAGAAATTAATGCGTCACTCGCACTTTGTGCATCTCGTTCCTGTATACCGCTTACATTTTTATTTTAGGCCGATTCTACATTGGTCACATCGTAGTGTCGCAAGGGTCGTGGACTGGTTCTAATTCAACGCCCATTGATCGAATTTATAATTTGCGACGCTTGCGATGCCTACGATATGCCTAACGTAGAACCGGCTCTACGGCCGAATCAGACTGGCAATTGCTAACTCTGATTGGATTGGGATTGTCGATTGTCTTTTAGCCAATGAGAGCCGATTAAATCGCTGGCTGCTTTGCACTCATTGGCTAAAGGGCAATCGTCAATTCCATTTCAATCCGAGTCAACAATTGCTAGTCTGATTTGGTCTTTGGGCATTACAAACGTGCTTATTGTTCTAATCGTAAGGCGTTCGGATTACATTATAGGCACAAGGAGCGGAAGGCCGGACCCGGCAGGCATGCAAAATGGTTTATTTGTTTATATCTCCTAGGACACAGTAGCGAGAGGTGGAGTCACGCATTGAGTGACGAGCGACGTGACTCCACCTCTCGCGTTGAGTGACGAGCGACGTTGGCTACCTTCAACAATTGATATTCTTTTATATTTTAATATTCGATTTATTTACTGCAAGTAACTAAATCGCTGAGAAAACAAGAAATATACCTAAATCGAATAAATCTATGTATACACACGATAAAAAGACACGAGGTGTAACATTCTTACTGATTTTCTCGCGGTTGACATTCTCGCCTAGTGATTCTACGAAGCGTCGATTAATCGTTTGTACGCTCTAATCAAATCCTTTTGTCTTCTTGACGAACTCATGTTCCTTCAGTTGGAATATTTATGCAAACGAGATCAATTATAAATAGGCACCGGGAGATGGCTGCCTTCGAGGTGGTCATTTCTGGACTCAACTTTCTCAAGAAGTATCGTCCAATTTGCGATCCTTTTCAAGGTTTCGATTCCTGGGCGTGAAGAATATCCTAAATCTCGGAAATTCATGTTCTTGGAATCTAATTAAGTGTAATGACTCAGCGGACACTCGAGATTAATTAAGTTGGCGCAAACAGTTCGTCGTATCTGCCTAGAAGTTAGAGCGCGCGGTCTTCGAGAACCGTATGAAAATGTCTCTCTCGCGAAGGATTGAAGCAACAGCTCGATCGCGGAACAAATCTCCTGCGCCAACTCGACGCGTCGATCAGCAAAGTGTCGCCGAAAAGGAGCGCGGTGCACCGAAGTATCGTGACTCGCGGAAACGACCTTTTAGACCTCGAAGGCGTCCCATCGCTACGCTATCATGGCAGCGATCGGGCTGAAGCGCATGATCTTGCTGAGGAGGATCCAGGCCACCGACGCGAGGGCACAGAGGGTGACTCCACCCCATCCCAGGTCCATGCTCCACGCGGTGGTGACTCTCCTGGCCTTCAGGACGCGGAGAACAGGCATGCCGATCACGCCGTCCTCGGGCCCGCCCGCTATTGGCTTGGTCCCGCGGTCCTGGACCCTCTTGAAGTAGATGATCGTGAGCGTGAACAGCGCGAACGTTGCTGGAACGAAACCAGCGATTCTCCGCTTACACGCCGCGTTGCTCGATAATGTCTATTAGCGGATTCGGTTGCTTGCACTTGTGAGTGCACACTAAGGCTTGTTTAGTCAGGTTTTATATTTAAGAATCGTCTCAAATATTTCTTGAAATATTTTGTAGCCAGTAAAATGATCTGTATAGCATCCATACGGGTCATTTTTCGGCTAAATACTCTTATAAAAAAATCGACTATAAACTGGCCTTACCCTAACATTACGTTTGTCGTACGACAAATTTTTCATGCGTGTTGATTGGCTGCAGGATAGTAAAATTCTCGAATATCTAGAAATGTTCTATTCAGCAGCCAATCAGCACGCTTGAGAAATTTGTCGTACGACAAATGCAATACCCCATCGCGTGCGCTCAGTGCGCAATAGTGCAAGCAATCGAATTCGCTATATGTCATACGTATATGACAGAGACTTTTTATCCTGGTAACATCGTACTTGAAATCTTGGTGGTCTACCAAGTGATTGGTAGATCATTTTACCTGCAAGGAGGTACATCACTCCTGTCACGAGGACGGCCGATATCTGATGCCTGCATAGTCCGAAAAATCCTATAAATGCAGCGCATCCTAAAATGATCAGGCACACCAGGGCGCACGAGATACTTAGATTTTGCATTCCTGGAACAGAATATTGGAGCGATTAACCAACGAGACTCTTGATAGATATTTAATTCGTGGAAAGATAGAACGGTTTATTTCACCGACGAGTGAAACGCGTTATAGAAAGAAGCCAAGGCTGCGCTTGAATGTTCACTTACGATTTTGCCAAACTCCGCGCGTTTCCTCGTGCGCCTCACTCGGCGACAAGTGATTGACGCATCTCTTTTGCGGGAAACCCACCTGACTTAGCAGCTGTAAGTCTTCCTCTGAAAGAACACGATTTGCCGATAATTTAATCTCTCTTTACCGTACAAATAGATAAAATTATATTTGAAAAGTTATATTTTAAATTATTCAAACTCAATGCAGGGAAATAATTCTAAAACTTATTAATTTATTTGCCATTAAAAGGAAGTTTATTAAAAGTTTTCGGTTCTTTTCAGCGTCCCGCGGATTCCGATCGAGGGAATACAGCAGAAGGAAACAGCAATTGCTTACTCTACAATGCTCTTTACGTCTAGAAACATTCTATTTTACATTTCTATATATTTTATACTTAACTTTGTCTTAAATGCCTGTTCAATGAGTATTCAGCCAAAAAAGTAATCCGTATGGATGCTATACAGATCATTTTATTGGCTACGAAATGTTTTAAGAAATATTCAAGACGATTCTTAAATATAAAATTCGATTCGCTTATACAGGCTTCAAAAATTTGTCGACAGTGTATTGTAAACGTACAATTTATTAAACTGCACAAATTTTTTAAGCGTATTTATTAACTGACAAAGTAGAATGACTCTAGACGCAGGCTTTGGAGAAATTGCCGAATAACAAAGCCTATGTGCGTACTTCTGATGCATCCTTTGATTTGATAGTAGGAAAACTTTAACACCTTGGCCGTGATTTAAATGTCACGTGGCGCAGGCAGTGCTAGGCGCACTGCTTGGCGTGTTCGGACCCTATGAACGTAATTCCAGTAAAAATAACTGAGTGAGACAACAACGACCCCGAATTCTTCAAGTACCCTTCAAGGTTGCACCCGTTCGATTAAACGAGAAGGAATATAGTGAGCATCAGTTGCGGCATCAAGCGTCAAAATTACTTCAACGTTCCGTTAGACAGACTCTTTGCCTAATCGCGTCTCTTAATATTGAGCATGCTCTAGTTCTATTATATTTTTCTTACAGACTTTTTATCTATTTAATCTATTTGTCAGTTTCCATCGCGTAGAACTTGGCGAGGAATTGTTACATTTTAAAGCAACGAATAATGTCTAGACAAGAGTTTAATAATAATTTTGGAAAAAAATTGACGGTGTTTATCGTGTTTCGCGAAAATGCAATAAGCATCTCATGCTGGAATTGGGTAGATATTACCTCGGCTATATTGCACGTACACGTGACTATATTTAGATGCCACCTTGACTCCGGCCGGAGATATCGAACCGCCGAATCGCACGATTCAAGCACAGAGTATCTATACGATTGCGTGACCGTGATCCCTGCTTTTTTCCGCGGATTTGAGCAACACCGTCCTATTAGACCCAAGCCTCGTTCGTATGCCGATTCATAAGACCGATAATGTTTCTATCGGCACGAGCGAGAAGGCACGAAACGTTGATCGTATCCATATCTTAATAAGATCTTAGAGAGAACGGTCTAACGTTTGCATACATCTACGAGCGACCGCTCCAGTAATTTTTATATCTATCTTCGTAAAGAAAATTTCTTTCGGTTTGTGTTTCTTTTCAAAGGTCTACTCATGATTGTCTACGACAGTAAAAACTTCCGAAGATAATTACAAATCATAATCACGACTGAAATCGGCGGGACTGAAAGCTTCCGCGATGATAATTTAAACGAGCCGCGGAATAAGCTGGAAACATTTCGCCTTCACAATGGTGGATGATGTATTTAAATCCTTAGGCGTGTGCGACAAAGATATGTGCGGTCTTAGGTCTAAGTTTAACGTTCGCAAAACCGCGAACAGCCTGTACCTGACAATGAAACACACATAATCCAAATCCCGCTGTGCATGGGAACTAGGAAGGAACTTTTGGCGACGCGATGCTTATTTCGATGATTAATGGAAGACTCCAGCCTTGCGACCCGACCGTTCATGTACCACGTGAGATTGACGTTCGCGTGGACCAGGTCCTCCTTGTTCCAGCTGATCTCCTCCCAGTGATCTGACATTATCGCGCCGCACAGGAGCCCCGTGGCTGAGAAAGGACAAAGGAAGTCGCAGTTATTGGGATGCTCGCGTTTCTGTCGAGTCCCGGCTCGTAATAAAGCTTTCTCTTCGAAAAGAAAGCGGCGCGAGGACCTCCTCGAAATGTTAGTAGAAGCCAAACAGTTCAGAACTGCGTAATTTTGCCCTCGACTCTCCAACGAGATACATCTTCCACATCAGCTATTGGAAGATGTACGTTGACGGAGAGACCGCGTTGATCTTTTTCACACGGTTTGAGACGGATGTCAGTCTCCCCCGGGAGCCGGCGACCTCTCGTCTCGTTACCTGCGACGGTCAGCACGAGGGTGACGAGGAGGAAGACGAGGCGCGAAGCGGGGCCCCGGGGCACGCGACTCGGCTCCATCTGCTCTCGGACGGCGGCGCCCAGGGCGACGCCTCCAACGCGACGCTCGCGTCCCCCGACTCGTTACTGCCAGACGTGCACCCTTGGAACCCGCATTCTCTCTCTCTCTCTCTCTCTCTCGCTTTCTCTCCCCGGCATCCTCGCGATGCGGACGCCCTCCGCCCTTCCACGTCGAAGCGCTACGACGAATCGACCCACGCGGACGATTACCCGGTCTCTCTCCTTCCCCACTCGCGGATGCTGCGGATGTCCACTTTAGCACCCATGCACCCCTTCGGAATCGTTCTGTCGATAGAAACTGAATTGAAACGTTGTAGATTGAGATTACAAGGCGTTGAAGGTCGAAGACTGATAGTAATTAGACTCGTGGACAAAATTAATTCCAACTTACCACGATCGATGCTATCTCTTTCGAAGTAAGAGCCTGGTTTGCGTCTCTATATACGTTCGCTTCGCCAATACTTTCTTAATACATTTAGCCCAGAAGTATTTATACACGCGTAGTCTGAGCCTAATGCCGCACATACGAGTCCGTCTTGTTAAACCCAGTTCTTTTCTCGCGACGCTGTGAAAAGAATGTGGCTTATAGGAAGAGATATGACGTAATACAGACTTCCTGCTTGTTTACAGCTCTAAGCGGTGTCCTTTGTCGCCGCTAATTGATCTTACCTTTCGACACGCCGCGTGCGTCGAAATTTCTCGCTCTCGTAGCCAATCCCAAAAGATAGTGCAACTGACGTTACATGAGAACTCTCCCGTTCTTTGTTCCTCAGATGGCCGATGTATCGGAGGAAGTGCCGATCAAGGATGCTGCAACGGCAATCTCTCAGGGCAAACGCCACCTCCTAGTGCGCGATTACCATCTCGCGGTGACCGTCCTGGCTCATGCCTGCGAACTTGTCGCCCAGGAGCACGGAGAGACCGGCGACGAGTTGGGCGAGCTCTACCTGCTTTACGGACGAGCCCTTCTGGGCCTGGCACGCGAGGAGGCGGGTGTGCTGGGAGGTGGTGTGCCCGGATCCGAGGAGACCAGTCAGGATGAGCAGGGCGAAGAGGAGGAGGAGGAGGAGGAAAACGAGGAGGGAGCTGTAGCAGAGGGCAATCATGCTACGGAAAGCCCTTGCACATCGAACGGCAAGGAGGATGATAAGGAGACAACGGAGAAAGAAACGGAAAAAGAGGCGGAGAAAGAAACGGAAAAAGAGACGGAGAAAGAAAAGGAAAAAGAGTTGGAGAAAGAAACGGAGAAAAAGGATGAAGATCAGAAGGAGCTGAAGGACGCAAAGGCTGAAACGGATAAAAAGGCAGAGGAGTCCAATAAAACAGTCGAAGAAAAGAGCAAGGTCGAAGAAAAGAGCAAGCAGAGGGAAGAGATTCCTGGCTGTAGTCGAGATTTTGATCTGCAGAACGGCGAAGCTTCTTGTAGTGGCCTAAACAGAAGAGACGAAGACGAGGATGGAGAGGACGTAGAGAAGGAAAACGACGAGGAAGAAATCAACAATCTACAGGTGATTTTTACTTTGTCTAATTATGACGTCAGGGTACCTCATTGAGTTTCTACCGAATAGTATACCTTTGTTTGTTGTCGAATTTATCCAAGTTCAATTGTTAATTTAATATTACTCGTTGCTATGCTTAAGTATTGAGTCAATTATAAATGATTCCAACGGACTTCCGTTTCTAGATCGCCTGGGAAGTCTTGGAACTGGCGAAACTGGTGCTAGTAAAACGCGGACCACCGGGCTGGAAGTTCTTGGCTGAGGCCTACCGCCTTCTGGGCGAGGTCTCGATGGAAGGCAGCAACCACGAGGGCGCACTGATCGACTTCAAAGCGTGCTTGAACCTACTGGAGAAGATGACTCCTCGTGATCATCGAGCGATCGCCGAGATCCATTATCAGCTCGGATTGGCGCACGCAATGGCGAACAACTTTGACATCAGCATCGAGCAATTCAACCAGGCGTCCGCGCTGCTGGAAGCGAAGATCATGCATCTCACGACTTTGCAGGATAATCCGCCCCAATCCGACGATCCCTTCTACACCGTCGAGGGGGAGATCAAGGAACTGCAGGAACTTCTTCCGGAGATTCAAGAAAAAATCGCGGACATCAAGGACCTCAAGAAGGAAGCGAATGTGATCAAAGAGATTAAGGAAGAAAGACTGAACGGGTGCTCTAGTGACGGTGAAGCGAATGAGCCTTCTGGAAGTGGTAGTAGTACGTCCAAACCTGCTAGCGATATATCGCACCTGGTAAGAAAAAAGCGCAAAGCGGAGGACGAAGCGGAAACCGCTTCCCTTAGCAAGAAGCCGATGCCGGAAAAGGATGTGGCGTGAAAAGTGCGAGTATCTGATTTTCACGATAATTAGAGACTAATCTGAACTCTGATGAAGCTAAGAAATGTTGATATTTTTCTCGATAATGTAGAAGTGGTATTTGCTGATGTATAAAAATTCAGTGTTTTCTACAGAAATGACAGTCTACCAGTTGGTGAATTTCCAGTGTAGATATCAATAGAAATAATCCGTTTAGATCGCCAGCAAATGATATACATTCAGAACCCGCCATTTCAAATCGCCTTATGATATCATAAACACGAGCAGAACCGTTTTGTAATCACAGTTTGTCGCGTATCGTCAAGAAAAATATTTAGTGTTTTTCCTTATAACGAGAAGTGTTTGCTACTGTATGAAACAATGTGTTCTGATGAGAATCGTCGATCATCGATCAGAATCAATCATTCCCAACATTTCTAGTCTAAGTCAGAATTTGTCAGAAGTTAATATCCACGTTTGAAGTTTAAAGTCCTCTCTTTGCGATATCGTAAGTTGAATGGAATCGTTTTCTGACTCGAGTAACAGTTTACATCAATAATATTTAAAAGGACGAATCTACTAATTAACAACACTAGACTTCGAAAGTATATCATTTTTATCTTGTATTAAGTAGACACCTGTCGCATATCCGTAATTTGTTAGACAAATTCTGTTGTATGAAAATACGTTGAATGTTCCCCCACGTTCGCCCAATGTTAGAAGAGCTTGAGCTCTGAGTTTTAAAGTTTTTGAGTAAAAATCGATACGATTTAAAAATATTCAATGTGTGTGTGTGCGCGCGTGTGTGTGTATGGAGCGTAATCGATTATAATGTCCTCCCCCGATTTTCGCGAGAGAAAGACTGTTGTTAAAGCGTTTTTTTTCCATTTTTCCTTTGGTTTTGTAGATAGCCCTCGTTAAACGTCGCTGCAATCTCTGATTTATACTCCAGCAAATACGTTCGTACGTTAAGCGAGAAGGGTAACTCCTTTTATTCCGTTTTACTCAATGATAATCGGTTTGCGGTCAGCGATCGAGCCTGAGTTCTCGAGAATACTGCGTGTACGCGAACGCATTCTTTAATTCAAAGACATCAGGGAAGCTATTGTGGAACTATTCGGACAGATTTCTTATTAGAGACGACTGATCTACTCCGGACATTTGGACAGCGCTCAAAATGATTAGAAGATCTTGCGTCTCCATGTCAGATTTCTTCGCACGATTCGAGAAGACGTCGCTAATCTTCAACGTACAATTTAATCAATTTCGAAAAGGATCCAAATGTTAGTCCAAAAAGACAGAGGTAGAAATTATTGCGGTTCCCCAATACGACACAAGTCCATACTATTTTTTTTTATGTGGTTAACGTACTTCGGTTCTCTTGACACACAACGTCCAGGATTTTTCTTCTTTTCTCGCGCGCTATGGCCCCGTGTGATTTCTTTTCCCCAACCATGTATTCTTACAAATAACTTTTTAACGACCTTTATTATATATCGTTACGTCAATTTCTTTTAGGATAAGTCCATAACAGTTCCCGGAATAGGCTACGATGTATTTATTCTAGTTTCTAGCTGCGTAGCGGCAGACACACATCCCACACACATGGTACTTGTTTTTGAACTGTAGATATAAGAATTCAAGTAGGAGTTAAGTGATTTGTTTGTGTACGAATATCACGTAAATAAATGTTGAAGCAGTGCTCTTTTTTTTTAATCCGCTCTGTACTTTTCTTTCAAATCCGTCGCGCGATGTTGACACGACTTTATTTTTTACCGACGTCCGGTAACCCACGTGTCCGGCTCGCGGCTTCTTCTTTCTGTCGGAAGAGCGTCGGCGCGTGGACCCTTTTTTTTTTGTTTTCCCCTCTACGGGGACGCCATCAACCATTAGGTTATTTAACTGGACGCGTGGACCTCGTTGATTGAGGTTATCTCGTTGAGGACAAACATAAGCTTTCATCTTATTGTTGACAATTTGGTTAATCAAAGGACACAACCTGCGAATTCAGTACTTTCGAGTGCCGCGAGCCTTTATACGATTTTACGAAAATAACGGTAAATTAAGTTACAATTTTACATCGTGTCTGTGTACTTTTTGATATTTATTTGCAATATCTTAATATCCATATCTGAGAAATAAACTGTTGTAACTGCAACATTGCCGATTTTAACATTTTCATCTCCGCTGAGCGCTCGAATTAGCGGTTTTATTATTTTTTAACAAAAGTGTTCGAATAAACTTTAGAATATTGTGAAAGACAGCTTGTACAGATGCAAGTTGATTTCGAGGTCTCCTGTATACGTTTGCTAAGTGTCGGTTACGACACGGTTGACTTCTCAGGTACAGATATGTATTTGTATGTATAAACGTATGACGCATGTTTATACATTTTAGTATTACGTATACAAGTATGGATGACGAGCAATGCACAAAGAAGCAGAAGGTCGAAAAGGTCGTCACTAAGAGCGAGGGGAAGGCGCAGATATTTGTTACGGAGAAGGTGTTTTATAATCCAGTTCAGGAGTTCAACAGGGACCTCAGTATAGGGGTGCTAAAGATATTCGCGAGGGACAGAATCAACAAATTGTCGGAGAAGGACGTTAAAGTCGGGACGCCGCGCGACGCGGAAGGCCGGAAGGGAATCACTATATTGGAGGCGCTGTCCGCGACTGGTTTGCGTAGCATACGGTACGCCAAGGAGGTGGAGGGCGTCCGGCAGGTGGTTGCGAACGACATTTCCGAGAAGGCGGTGGCTAGCATCAGGCAGAACGTCTTGTACAACGGGGTTGAGAGTCTGGTGACGCCGCACTGCCAGGACGCGTCGCTGTTCATGTACGAGCACAGGCGAAATCGCTTTGACGCAGTCGACCTGGACCCGTACGGCTGTCCTTCGACGTTCCTGGACAGTGCGGTGCAGTGCGTGTCGGACGACGGCATGCTTCTGGTCACCGCCACCGACATGGCTGTCCTGGCCGGCAACGTTCCGGAGACCTGTTACTGCAAGTACGGGGCGACATCCGTAAAGTCCAAGTCCTGCCACGAGATCGCGTTGAGGATATTGCTGCAGTACATCGCGAGCACCGCGGGACGCTACGGGCGGTACATAGTGCCGTTGCTGTCTATAAGCGTCGACTTTTACATCAGGGTGTTCGTCAAGGTCTTCACGAGCCACGACAAGTGTAAGGAGAATGCGAATAAGATTGGGATGCTCTATCAATGCAAAGGATGCAAAAGCGTAAGCTTCCAACCGTTTGTGACGAGGAAGTCTCCGAAGAATTACAAATTATCGAACGCACCCGCGGTAGACAAGCTGTGTAAACATTGCCAACACGAGCATCAGATGGGAGGCCCGATATGGCTGGGTCCTCTGCACGACCGTGAATTTGTGTCGCGACTGTTGAGCAACTTGGACACCATGGAGTTGGGCACGTTGAAGAGAATGGAGGGCGTCTTGACCATGATACACGAGGAACTGGACACTCCTTTGTATTACAATCTGGATTCCTTGATGTCTACAGTCAAGTGCCACGTTCCGCCGATGTTGACGTTTAGATCGGCGTTATTGAACGCGGGATACAAGGTGTCGTACTCGCACGCGAGTAAGATATCCATCAAGACGGACGCGCCGAACGACGTTGTGTGGGACATCGTGCGCGCCTGGGAGAAGGAGCACCCGGTGAAGCGGGAGAAACTGGCCGCGGATAGCCCGGCCGCGCGGATACTCAACGCGCCGTCCACGACGGACATCTCGCTCGCGATGCATCCTCTCGCTAATCCGATCTCACGGCAGAGGCATTTGTCTCGCTTCCAACAGAATCCCACCGTAAATTGGGGGCCTGGTGTCCGCTCGAGGACCAGGGTCGATCTCGAAAATACGGCGGAAGATTCGAAAAAAGTGAGAAATCAAAATAAAAATAGTAAAAAGAAGTCTGCTATGGTGGAACGGCAGATGGTACAACAATAAGAGAGATTTCGGTCAAACAGTATTACAGAAAGCGTTTCAGATGTGACAAATTGTATTGCAATGAACGTGTTATTGCATCATTGCCGATAGGGAGATCGTTGTATACATTTTCCTTCTCGTCGTGTGCTAAAAGTCTGTTGTTAAAATGTCTATTTCTACATTGTTAAAAACTATTTTGACTGAAACTTGGGTTCTATCTTTTTATCGTTTTCGTCGTGTTCTCCGATATCTTTGTAAGGCCTGTATAATGGATTACGTTGGCTGCTGGTACGAACTTATCGTCGAATGTAATTTTCAACATATTCGTCAACGCGTCAATTCTCTACCATATTGATCCACTTTTCTCGCACTAATTCTCACGCTTCTTCAAACCTCTTACATTTATTTCGACGGGCGGGAACATGCGCCGGCCGGACTTCGTAATGATCATTTCTGTATTTAACTTATGAAATTTCTGCTAGAGATTTCGATTAAGCAATTCTGCGCTGACTCCGATTAACGTTGGTTGTTGAAATAATGGAAAAAAAAGAATATCCAGGTGATGGTGTATTACCGAGGGCGTACACACTTTCCAAGATACATAAACCAGATATTCCATTAAGAATCATTGTCTCGTCACTGTACACTACTCTGTACAACATAGAATCACGTTAGATGATCGAAACGTTTGACTCGTTTTAAAGTTCTTTTATATACATTAAACTGTTATTATTTTTTCGCTACTGACACCCTGCGTTGACCCCTATTGCCCTCTTTGTTCCATAGACTTTATTGTTGAAATAACCACCATTTGTTTAAGTTCATCATATGTTCTGTAACTAGTCCGCGCTGCAAAACGATCGGTGGTTGCGCGAGGAGCGGCGATATTGGCTGCAGTATCAGCTCCAGTGGCATCAGTGTATGCTATTTGAATACTGAAAGCACATTTCCGAGGATCGACGGTTTTTCCTCCTCTGTCGATCATCGGTGCATTCGAAACAAACGTTGAAGATCACGTGCAGTTGAAAAGGAAACTCATAATTTTGCTCTCTTTGGTACCACGTCATGATATAATGTTAATTGAACACATGACATTTTTGCCTTTTATTTCTGAGTGGAATTGACCTGACAAATCAAGCTCAGATACCCAAGAAAGGATAAAAAAACTGAATGAATTGAGAGTGCGATAACTATGTGCATTTATGATAAATATTTTATCAAACACACGCATATATACAATATAAAACTGTATAAAAAATAATATATTGTGTGTGCATATATTATTGACATATTAATATGCTATTGTATATGTATATATGATTATATATTAAGCAATTTAATGTTTGTTGATGGTTGCTGCATACCACTTCCAACTATTCGTCAATGATCACTAGCAACACCAATATCAATTACAAAAGGTAAAAGTAATTTGTACGCTCAATGAATTTTAATACTTTGAACGGCTATGCTAAAGTAACAAATTAAAGATAGAAAAATCGCAAAACGAATGGCTTTTATAGGATTATTTGTATATTAACAATCGGGGAAAAGTAATTTCTTGACAGAGGCGAGCGAGTCGTATCCTTGTACATTTGTACATTACTGCATATTGTTATCTAAGGCTGTAAAACGCTGTCGCATTGTTGCGAACAATACTTGTCTTGTAATAAAATATTTTTTTACAAATTCCGTCATTTCACCGTTTCTTTACACTAAATTTGTTGTAACGTCCAAATCTTAGCGAGAAAAGGAGAAGATTGCGAAAGGACATGTATTTACTCGCAATTCTTTATGACACATTCACAGTTGAAACTTTTTCAAACATATATATATATAAATTTTACTTTGGAAAAGTATTAGGCATCTCTTCACTAAAACTTTCGATGATATACCTATGCGACTTGAGTGATTGACAAACTACGGCAGCGCAGATTACGGTTTTGAACAACGATATAAAGATTCCCGTACACGGCCTTGGCACTTTGCAGGGAAGCGTAAGTAGCAACGAAATCTTATAGTTTATTCTCACCAAGAAACTTTCTTGTTCTTTTTGGTCACTTCTTGGTATCATCTGCTGCCCAGAGACGAGAAAGAAACGGTATCTTCCTTTTAATGTCAGCGATAACGCGAAGTTCGTGGTCATTAACAGCACTGTACGCGCAAACAACTTGACTGCCCAGATAACAATTCTTGCGCGTAAATTTTGCTTGTCTTATGCATGCAAATTTGCATGAGATTTGCCTGAGTTTCATCCGTAATATATGTTTAGTCTGTGCTTTTGCACGCAAGTGGCTGGCTCATATATTAACGGATAATTTTGCGCGCAAATATCTATCAACTCACGTACAAAAATGGCGCAACAACACAAGCAAAATTCTATCAAAGTGCGTCGTCATAATGCCAGATGTTTGCGCGCAAAATGTTTACTGGGTGGTCAAAGCGGTTTCACTTTTTAACAATCTAAAACTCGATTCGATTTTGAAATGCACTCAAACGGTTAAACAGCTTGCGATGGACCAAACTCTTGCAACTGAAAACTACATAAATTCTTGTTACTGAAAATTATCTAAAAATTACGATGATAGTTTAATTTTCGAGAATATTTTCATTATCTTAGTTCTTTCTTCTTTCCTCTGCGCAAAAAAATCTTTGAATACGCATTTTAAAATTTTAATTTACTTCGATCTCGTTTTAGGATAATCCGAAGATCGTCGAGCAAGCTGTACATGATGCTGTTGATGTTGGATATCGGCATTGTGATTGCGCTTACATGTATTAGAATGAAAGGGAAATTGGTAAACTACAATATTACGCGAGAAGATTGCAACAGGGGTCGTGAAGAGGGAGGATCTCTTCATTACTACCAAGGTACGTTTGTGTTGTTCCATCGTCTGATCCCAACATATAATAAATCGATCGTATTCATTGTCAGTTGTGGAACACGTTTCATAAGCAAGACGACGTGAAATCTGTGGAGAACTTTGGTCTCGGCTACGTGGACTTGTACTTGATATACTGGCCCATATTTTATGCGGTAAACTCAATGTTCAAAGGCTTCTTAACGACTTTCAGAAGGTGTTAGACTATAACACAGTTGTAGTTAGATAAAAGTCGATTGTACTGTCATCACTGACACGTTTGTGTTTGCATAATGCAAGAGAAAATAAAAATAAATGTCGCACGATGGTACCATATATTATGCAAGCACGTTTCACGTTACGATAAAAATTATAATCACCGTTCCTGCTTACGTTCCCTAGTAGCACAGTGCATTAGTTAAACATTGGCTCAATACAACCAATGTTTAACCAATGTTTGGTCAATGCACTGTGCTACTAGGGTCGAAATTATTTTAGAGAAATGCCGACGGATTAATACCGGTGGACAAAAGCGGCGATCCGATATTTGGATACGAAGATTTGCGTGACACGTGGCGCGGCATGGAGGAGTGCGTGAGATTGGGCTTAGCGAGGAGTATTGGCCTCGGCAATTTCAACTCCGAGCAGATCGATCGCACAGATAAAGCCGGTGATGAATCAGGTGGAGTGTCATCCGAATCTGAATCAGAGGAAATTGCGGGAGTTTTGCGCGAGTCGTGACATAGCCGTCACAGCTTACAGTCCTTTCGGCTCGCCTAATCGGCCTTGGGCTAAGCTCGGCGATACGAAAATCGTCCTCGATACACTCGATGATCCGGAAATTGTAAATATTACAGCCAAGTACGGCAAAACTCCGGCGCGCGTTATTTTGAGATACTTGGTAAGATTTGCTATTATTAATAATAGTTCTATGCGACTACCGGATGTCTCTTTAATGACATAATCCTTGGCCAACTTAAAGGTGGTCGTTTCTTAGCAAAAGTATCGAGGTAATGATAATTTTCGATTTATAAGCGATTCCAAAAGAAGGGACTGTCGTAAATTAATTTCTGGAGAGCCAAATGAATGACAAAACGACGTTCTCTAATTAATTTCAATTTCAGGTGGAGTTCACTTTAAGAAAATTGCCTGATAGTATGCATGTCTAATGGCCCATTTTTTCACTTCCCGATAAAATTATCAGGAGGTTAATCTCAAGTTTTGGCCAATCACGTGCATGGATCTGGTAGTTATCTCCCGTTTAACTTTAACCGTAACATAACTGGATGTGAAGAAATCGGGCATAAAAGACATCTTTAAGACGGCATTAAATTGTCTTTTAGCACGACCATACAATATCGACAATACATATAATGATATTTGCAGACCACAAGAAATCCTATATTATGTATTCGCACAGGATACAATCTTTTCCATCTTAACTTCTTTATTCTCTCACTCTTCGTCCTCAAGAAACTGAGATTCCATATACATATAAACTGGTTTCCTATGTTCCCACTACCTGGTCTTCTAATTGATTATACACACGCAGAGTAGAAATAACTGGCAATTATGAATACGCATAGGAGCGACGACGTGAAGTATTTTCCACTTCAAGTATTTTTATTCTATGCAAACAGTGTTACAATACGCGCGAACAGTTAAAGAGAGAGTTAATAATAAAAGATTTAAGGCCCTAATAATGAATTACAGGAGCGCACTTTGATTGCGTTTTAATATTTAATTCTACTTGAAAATATTGCATGTCACGATTTAATATACATTTCGCAAATTGTAATAATTGTTATTAAACATGAGATAAATAAGATATGTTATCTCATTTATTCACAGCATATAATTATTCACAGTATATTATTCACAGTATATGATTCACAGTAACATATTGCAATACGGTAGATATCTCTTTAGTATCACATATCTAATCTAAAGTTAAATATGTTGCAGCAAATGATTAAAGTGATAGAAAATGGCAAGTAATGCCGTTTCATCGCACTTCACTCGTAAGTGTGACTTTTCGTTTTCATTGATAATATAATCGATTAAATAGATAAAATGAAAGAAATAGATAAAACTGTAGGCTGAATTATGTAATGTCCAACGAATAAATAGCATGCGAATGGAGGAAAGACAGTCATTACGACGTCGAGCGTGTGGAATCGTACTCGAGAGTGAACGTTAATATTGTGCTGGTAAATGAAATTTCTGAGTCATGTCGAATGTGTGCGAGACGGATTTTCTCATTTTTGAACAATCTAAAATATATATTTTGCAATAGCTTTTCGACTTAAAAAAAGACCGACAAATTCACTGTAGAGATACGTTTTGTGAAGTCGTGAAAATCGTATATATATCTTATCTATAAGTACATCTTATCATCTTTCGTAATTCCCTTTCCTTATCCATAAGAGACAAATAGAGTATCGCGATCTAAATCTAGAAATAGATTTCAACGATAAAAAATTACATTAATTTAAGTTTTTTTGGAAATGGTAAGTCGCCAGTGATAAAAGAAATACAATCAAGAATTAAAACGACCTGGGCTGGCAAATCTTTTTATTCAATAAAATTAAATTACTAGTAATTTATAATTTAATATACTATTAATTTACTAAATATACTAGTAATTTATAAGTTAATAAAATTAAATTACTAGTAATTTCATTTTATTGAATAAAAAGAATTGCCAGCCTAGGACGTTTTAATTCTCGATTGCATTTACATTAATTTACATCAATTTAACAAACGTGGCACGATGTTTCTCAGCCTCGAATTCAAGCAATTTGCAGCCAGCCGTTCGATAGAATGCTAGCTGAAACATACATAATATCATTTCATCGATTTTCTCATCTTAGGCTGCGTTCATCACCCGAGTCACCCGAGTGCTCCAGTATATCATTTTATCCTTGTTCACCGAATGTTAAACAAGGACAAAATGATACACTGGGGCCACTCGGATGTTTCCGAACGTCCTTGCTCAAAAGTGTAGTTGTATATATATATATACATATATATATCTCTCTCTCTCTCCCATCTCCCCCCTCTCTACTCCCCTCCCTTTCCTAACACACACTACTACATATCCCTCGAGCTATTATTATACATATATATGCTTGATACGACGCTACGTGGTCTCTCGGTGTTCTTCACATTGTGTTTACGTGTGCGTTCAGTCGCTATTTATTCCACTCGACGACTCTGCTGGTGACGAGTGTCGCAAGGTTGCGAGATAGAAGAGATTCAGTCTACTCGGTGCTTTTTTATTTCCAACGATAATTCACGCGTATATCATATTGCGTGCCTACCGACGTCGCGTCGCACTTAAATGACACCCAGATTGCTCCGTAATAATCAAGGACTCTGTTGCAGAGAGCTGGCCACTTCCTTCAGTTTTTCACACGCTTCCTGCTGTTTGCACCCACTTATCTATTTACAATAACAATGGCTGACATCCCGACAGTTACATTCTCGAATGGACACAAAATGCCGATGGTGGGCCTCGGGACCTACAAGGTATGTATGTCACGTGCAATAGAAGTGGGCGTATAATTTAATTGCATCGTCATCATGGATTGCGCAGTTCGCGCGAGTTTATTTTGAATTTCAAACGCACCTACTGCTGTGTCTGTCGAAATGAAAATCGATCCCACCGTATCCGCATCTGTACCAATCCCATTTACAATTCCCAACGTAACGATAGTATTTATTTAATGCTTTTACCGTGGGCTTCATTTTTCATTTGCTAAATCTGTTTCACCGAGTTATATTTTCTTCTTTTTCATTTTTGAAAAAAAAAACAGTCTCAGATGGGTGACGTGAAAAGAGCTGTTAAAGAGGCAATAGATCTCGGATATCGTCATATAGACACAGCTTTCTTTTATGGCAATGAGAAAGAGATCGGAGAAGCAGTTCGTGAAAAAATCCAAGATGGTAGCGTGACCAGAGAGGACTTATTTATTACCACAAAGGTGAGATCAATAAGTGGTTAGGTACAAATGCTTATTAAAAATAACTTTTTAGAAATGGTAAGTCGCCAGCGATGAAAAAAACATACAATCAATAATTAAAACGACCTAGGCTGGCAAAGAGGCTTTTGCCAGCCTAGGTCGTTTTAATTATTGATTGTATGTTTATTAAAAATGTTTGCAATCTATTAAAGTTTAAACGACTCATCCTTTATAATAGTAATTTTAATAATCAAGCTTTTTAGTCGACATTAGCCGGCCAGTGTTTTAATACAGAAAATTTATTGCGAAAAATATTACCTCAGCCAGGGTTTCAACCTGGACTTCTCGACTCGTTATCTATTTACTGGCAACTTAAAAGAGATTTCTATATAAAAATTTTAATTAAATATTCTGCTTTGTTTTAATCGTATTATTTGTCCCCTCGTAGCTGTGGAATACTTCTCACAAGGAAGAGCTCGTTGTCCCGGCCTGCAAAAAATCATTAGCCAATCTCGGTTTGGATTATATGGATCTCTTTTTAATTCACTGGCCATTCGCTATGAAGGTGAGCATTGACATCGACGTGAAGCAAAAATTTTATTTTCCTGGCTATAAAAACAACTCAAAAAGTTGCACGGCAATGGTTTGGTTGAAGATACATGTAACTGCACAGCGTTTACATGTATTGCGAAAAATACTACCTCAGCCAGGATTCGAACCTGGGACCTCCCTCAATCCGTGACGCCCGAATAAGAATAATTTACAGCACGGGGAAGGGGGGGGGGTATTGAATGCTAAATGTAGCCTCAGAAAAATGCTAAAATGTAGCATTTGAAATATAATTACAAATCGTTTATCGATTTGAATATGTGAACTTGCTGACGATAATAATTCCACTTGTAAGAAAACTGCATTATGTCCGAAAAAGAAATCGGCGCGTAGAATAAATGTGGAAAGAAACGGTATATAAATTCACATTTTTTAAATATAAGAATTACAAGTTGGGCTATCTTGCCTTATGACCCACATTGGCGCTTTTCTCGTATGTTGTTTAGTTTTAGTTAGGGGTCTTACTTGAAAGTTTATTGTTGAGAATATGATTATTAACAGTAAATTCTTATTCACGAGGGGATGAATATCTCGTGATCTTTCGAATTCTATGAATATTCTATGATCTGTCAATTTGTGATGTTCATCTGAATGACATCTTTCAGGAGGGGGATGATTTGTTGCCTCACGACGCTGCTGGTATTTGCGAATCGGATGTCGATTATTTGGAAACATGGAGAGGGATGGAAGAATGCGTTCGTCAAAAATTAACTCGCAGCATCGGAATCAGCAACTTTAATTCCGAACAAATTACCCGTTTACTTAAATCAGCCAAAATCGCACCAGTTAATAATCAGGTATGCGGGATCATCTAAATCGTTCCACAATTACTGCATTTTCTGACAACTTTGCGCTTTCGAGAGGATTAATTTATATTTTTTTGACGAATTAGTTTTCTAATTCTTATATACTTAAAAAAATGCTAATACTTTTAAAACATTTTAGAGGCTCTAATATGATTCATTATATTAGTGCCACAAGACTTATTATTGATGTCTAGAAATTCTGTTACAGATTGAAATTAATATAAACATAAACCAGGAAAAATTAATAGACTTTTGCAAGAAACACCATATCACGGTAACTGCTTATTCTCCCTTGGGACAACCTGGAAATACATCGGGCATCGACTTTAAACTAGGCAGTCCTGTAATGTTACAACTTGCAAAAAAATACAAGAAGACACCGGCGCAAATAGCGCTTCGATATATCGTATGTAATAAAGGAGAATTGGCAAAATTTTTTTTATAATTAAGAGACGTACACGTCAAATTTTACTTTCCTAGTATCAACTCGGAGCTGCATCGATACCTAAGTCCGTAACTGCAAGTCGAATTAAGGAAAACATAGAACTTTTTGATTTCACGTTGACACCCGATGACATGAACGCTATCCGTAAAGTCGGCACTGGAGAAAGGGTAGTGTACTTCGATGTGTAAGTATTAGAACCTGCAAGAACATTTTACGTTTTATCATATCTTCTTCTACTGTACAAATATTTTGGAGCCTCGAGATCTTAAAAAATTTCATTAAATAACATTTCCGCTTTGATTTTAGGCGGTATATAATTCGCGTCAGGATTCAAGACGAAAATTTCTATATACAATTTTATAATGCAAACTATTTGAGAAGAATTAAAATAACTTATGTAAAATATAGGTGTTAAAATACGTATGCGTATTTTAACCTATATTTTACATAAAGTATTATGATACATTATTGTACATTAAAAATATCTAACGCAAATTATAGATATTTAAAGTTAGAGCTATGATACACAATAAAGATGCGAATTACGACACATTATAAATTGTTTGCATGTGTTTAGTTTTCTCTAACAGTTTCCCGTTTTTATGTTGCAGTGCGAAGAATTTCAAATATTATCCTTTTAGCATTCCGTTTTAAGTGAAATTGGTGTGATAAAGAGAGGAGCAAGAAGAAAAAGAAAGAAGACAAAGAAAGATGTTATTTAATTTAAATATTTAAACAACATTTCTAAAATTACAAGGAGATTAAGAGGCAAAATACAAAGTAAATGTCACGGAACAATATCTAATGTATATCTACATATGTGCACAATACTTATTTTAATATATTTTGTTTTTTAAGGTTGTACTTTGCCTGAAATATAGTTTAAAAATATTTTCATACGCTATAATAGTTATTTCTTCTTATTCCGGCGGAAAATTCCATCGTTGTGAACTACTTCGTCTCGATTACATCGACTGTCATGTTTATAAAGTCACTATTGTTGCGCAGTATCGTTTAAGTATAGGCTTGTTTTCTGTTGCACTGGTGAACTAGTGCAATAAGTTAGAGTAGGATAAGTATATTTTTTCTCATTCTAGCTTACTGCATTAGTTCACCAGTGCAATAGAAAACAAGCCTTATATTTTACATCACATTGCTTATGTATCTAAAAATTTTCCAATTCAATTTTATGTAAAAGTTAGGTGTTTTGTTTCCTGTTTCATGCAAGACATTATATTCTTTGCGTCACGTTAAAAGATACTTTTTGAAATATATATTGTTTAACAATATAAAAGAATAATATTGATCTGTATAGAAAAACAGAGTAAATTATTGATAATTCAGTTTCTATCAAATAAAAAGAAGGTGTTTAATATTTAAGAATCTTGGAATAATTTAAGAATAATTTGTAAATACCTTATTCGATTTTCCAATTACAATGATAGAGATAACATAAATATTCGCTTGTTGTTTAAACATTTAAGATCTTAATACTGAAGTTAATAATATTTTTATCATACATTTACATGCTTCTTTGACGAAAATCTTCACCTAGCCTTCTGCTATTCTACAAATTTTAAAAATAAATGTTTGATCGTTAATAAAATTAAATATCCACCGATTTTATTTCTTCTAGAACATTTTTCGATAATTATTGAAAACTTGCAGAACCTATGCTACATGTGCTATTCGTATCACTGTGCCTGATAAAACAGAAACGAAATATACAAAATATTTAAGTAGCTGTAAGTAAAATTAGAGAATGATATACTTCGCGATAGCTTTGTCGCAAGCTATCAAATTACCACAACTTTGTCCAGCTGCTTTATTACGTTATATTATCGTGAATGAAACTTTGTTCCTCCGCAAGGAGTCGTCAAGGGCTCGATTCATTGCTTCAAATAGCCTAAACGGTTTCTGTAACTTTCCACGGTGCCGGATAGACGAATTCAGCCACCACCACGCGGTCGTTTGAACCAATATTGTTACCGATGTGTGAGTGTTGAGTATCAGCGACATCGTTCAAAAATCACGAGACGCGCAGTTGGTCCCACGGTTAAAAATCCTAAAGAGAGTTGCAGTTTCTTTTCTTAAGACAAACATAAAATTGCAACTGTAGCAAATTCAAAACTCACATATACCAATTGGAACAGACAATTGTTAAAAAGAACAGTTATCACTTGAGAAGTAAGATAATTGCGTTAGTGACCCAGTGAGAAATGATTCGTCGAATCGACATCGACACCGTCGAATTGGCGTCGATTCGACATCTTTTCGACTGGGAATTGCATTAAAAATGAAAATCCGTGAACACGATTAATATCCAGCGACTTGAATATCGCCTCGGTGGATTGCAATGAATTTTTTAGTGACGCGAATTGCGATCGAATCCCTAACGCCGGTACACCAATACGAACGCGCGCTTTGAAGTCGGGGCAAAATCGATCTTGCCGTTGAGAATCCGGTTTGTAGGTGGGGACGTTTATAAAAGGGACTGGTCGGAGCAAATCCACCACATTGTACCGCTGGTCAGACTGGTGCTCTCCACGCGGCAGTCATAGACTCTCAAACGCATATTTCTTTCTGCACAAGTCGTCGACGTTTCGTATGATACGCAAAATGGTCCTGGACGTACCGAAAGTGAAATTTTACAACGGCTACGAAGTGCCGATCCTCGGTTTGGGCACATGGAAGGCAAGTGTTCTCCCGTTCAATTTATAGACATCTTCGATCGTGACATACCCGTGCAATTTCGCCGGATCGTATCTTGTGGAAATTGCGAATAATAATTGCGTACGGATATCATTTTGTACGCTCGCCACCTAAACGAGAATCTGCTTCCTATCTGATCGCAGCTAACGTATCGGCAGAAGTTTTTCAGTCACATCCACCCTTCTTATCGTCAGACGAGATGACGTCAGACGTATGTTAGACTTTACGTGCAGACCTCGGAGGCCTATTCTGTAAATGTTAACGACATCACGTGCTTTGCGCGACTTTTCTACGATATATTATGTATATCTGCGCAAAAGCACGTCGTGACGTCGTTAGCATTTACAGAATAGGCCTCTTGATGATTAAGGAGGTCCGAAATTGCAAACGTGAAACTCGATTAACATTTAAGAGGTCTCTTTAGTATTGACGAAAATTCGATCGTGTTCTTGCTCGGTCATCTGAAATAAGTACCTCTATGTGTTTGTGTATATTTGTCAAGGCCATACAAACGCCGCAAATACGTTTTACTCGTGTCAAGAGTTTTGTGAATAGGAAATACTGGCATTATAATTTTGAGGTAAGATCTCTTGTCAAAGAACCGTTTGTAAGTTATCTGCGAGCCATTAAAATTCCAACTAGTCAATATGTTTATTCGATACATATTATATAGATATTACATATAGATAAATTATCTTACTTAGAAATGATTGATTTGCACATTTCGGCCTGATGATGCGAACTCGATATGTTTGAATCGCACGTTATTAAAGATAAATATATTCTAGTTTGATTTCTAAAGTCCAGAATCGTCCAGCGCCATTAGTTAACTATCTCAATTTCATATAAATGGCAAGGACAACGGACTCATTGCGCAATCTTAGGCAATTATTTCAGGTAGTGACTTATGTAGTATGTACAACCAAATTTAAAAAGAGATATAAAGAACTTTAAATCAAGCAAAGAAAAATATATTAAAAGCGACAGAAGAAGACACTTTAATCAACGTTCTTGACATGTGTTTCATTTTGCAATACACTTTATCTTTTGTCCGGTTGTTTTCGTTTTTTGCTCATTTTTCTTACTTTTTGCACAATTCTGCCTCAATATGTAAAGTTTTATTAGCACGACACTTTTGTAATCGTTACGTATGGTTCTACTTCTGTCATTTCTTATCATCTCCATTACGTATATTATCTTTGGTAATAAGTGCGTGTGTTGTGCAATCAACCACTCAATAACTGCTTGAACACTGACAAACTATCTTTTTCTGAATCATTCATATATCTCTGTGTGTGTGTGTATGTGTGTGTGTTGAAAATCATCCAAGTAACATAGTTTTCAATTTCAAGATCATTTATAAAATGTAGGAAATAATTTCCAGGCTTACATTATATTTACAACTTGAATGCCTTCTACATTGTAATTAGAATTTTATTACCGATTTGCTTTTTAGAAAGTATAATATGTAAATATGACATTAAATATTAAACACTCTTGCGATTAGACTACGCTGTAGTCTTGAGAAAGAAAGTTGACCGTAAAAGAAAATGGACAGAGATTTCAATTTAATTCGTTTGCATTTCAGTCTAAACCTGGAGAAGTTACACAAGCGGTGAAAGATGCCATTGATATCGGCTACAGACATATCGATTGCGCTCACGTTTATGGCAACGAGAAGGAAGTGGGTGCCGCTGTCAAAGCAAAATTAGCAGAGGGTGTTGTGAAGAGAGAAGACCTGTTTATCACCAGCAAGCTGTGGAATACGTTTCACAGCCCCAATTTGGTTGAGCCAGCTATCAAACAAACTCTAGCCGATCTTGGTCTCGATTACATAGATCTCTATTTGATTCACTGGCCATTCGGTTACAAAGAGGGCGGAGATCTTTTCCCTACAAATCCTGATGGTTCCGTGACATTGAGCGACGTAGATTATCTCGATACCTGGAAAGGTATGGAAGGTGTACTGTCCAAAGGTCTGACGAAAAATATCGGCGTCAGTAATTTTAGTTCCGAGCAGATTACCAGATTACTCGAGAAGGCAACTATTAAACCTGTTACAAATCAGGTAAATAAGAAATGGTAATAATTAAAATAAACTTTCTGGCGGTAATTTTTAACAGTCGGTTCCACTTATCTTACACTAATTTCGAAATTATTTTGAGATGCACTGTTTGGAAAATAGCAAATTGAATAATAGAAAAAGAATATTTTTGTATGTTCGTGAGTTTTTATTTATTTATACAGTTTATGTAGAGAACATGGAATTTTTATGCAGAGAAATGCAAAGAGTTACCATCGACATGATTTTAAATTTTATCATTTTTGTGCTATTTTAGGTCGAATGTCATCCATACTTACCGCAGAAACAGCTATCAGATTTCTGCAAGAAAAAGGACATCCTTATTACGGCGTACAGTCCGCTCGGATCACCAGACAGACCATGGGCCAAGCCAGATGACCCAAAATTGTTGGAAGACAAGAAATTGATTGAGCTCGGGAAAAAGTACAAGAAAACACCTGCACAAATAGTTATTCGTTATCAAGTATGTTATTAAGATATTAATGTTTCCAGGCATACTTTTTGATAAATTAGATGTACTGAATGTAATTTTAAAGAGTGAGAACAAGTGTCCATAGGCAAATGACCCCATTATTTTCGCATTCGATTTTGTTCACAAAGTAGGTACCGAACGAAAGATCTTGTCAAGCTGATTACAGATATGTCAGTCTCAGAATGTACCTACTTAACGTTCCAGAAATATCGGGCTTCAAAGATGTCATTAGCGGCGATCATTAGGAAATCTTTTAGTCGATCTAACTCGAATCCACCAAACAGTGCATCCGCTTGGCCAAGAGTTTTTGGTAACTGGTTGTAGATTATTTTGGTATAGCAATTCAGTCCGAGCAAAAAGACATTTCTTCTATCACTGACATTGGCTTTGGAATTTTTGGAGCCCGATATTTCTGGAACGTTAAATAGGTACACTCTGAAACTGACATATCTGCGAGATATCTGCGAGAAACTGACAATCATCTTGACGAGACCTTTCGTTTGGTGACCTACTTTGTGACCAAAATCAAATGCGAAAAAAATAGGACCGATCTTGTTCTCACTCTTATTAAGTTACTTTTTAAATTTACAACATTTATGAAACCAATAGCTTGATACACTAGTAATATTTATACAAAATTTTAATAACTATTTGCAGCTGGATCGCGGCCACATAGTAATTCCCAAGTCAGTTACCAAATCACGAATCGCTCAAAACATGGACGTGTTTGACTTTAAACTTTCATCCGAGGATGTTGCTTATATTGACACCTTCGATTGCAACGGGAGAATTTGTGCTGTTAATAAGTAAGAACTCATCACTTGTTTACAATTATCATTTTTGCAAACCATAGAAATATTTAGAAATTATTACAGCATATAATACTTCTATCACGTTGCAATATACAAATGTATTTTTTGTCAATTTCAGTGCAAGTGCCAGCCCGTATTATCCGTTCCATATTCCATTCTAAGTAATCAAGATGAGCAAGTGAGGCTGTGCTACATGTGCGTGTGTCATTTATTCAAGTGTTTGCATTACAACACTGCTTTTCTAAATTATCATTAATTTGTGCATACAATATAATACATACATATAATGTTTTTTTAAACAAGATTTGTCCTAATATATGTATTATTTTTATGAATACAGATTAACGAGAGTAGATTTTTGTGTCTAAATATTTTTCAAATATTAAGTTTTATATTATAACATGTAATGGTATTACATTTTGTAGATGAGTGTTAAAATAAATGTATTTTTGCACTGAATAACATGGGGTTTAAGTAATTTTAGTTTTTTTATTTTATTTACTATTTTATCATTATTACTATTACTATATTATTACTATATTATTATTACTATACTAATTACTAAAAAAGTAATCCTCTTATTTCATGAGGCTAGCCGTATTAATGTAATGGAATTTTCTATAAAAGAATTTACTTTTCATTATAACTTATGAGTCTACTCTTTTATAGATAAATATGTGTTAAAGTAAGAGAAGAATGCTTGATATAAGATTTCTTGATTTAGACGAAATACTTAGGGGATTTGCCCGCTTATGAATAGAAATTTTTCTGTTCGGGTGAATTTAATATAAAGCAAATTTTCCTAGAGGTTCAACAGTGAGTTGATTTCAGTGTATCGACACCTTTGTACTTACGCTTCGACCTTTGAATTAAGCATGTATACTTGTTTACTTCAGTTGTTGTGAAAATCAAACTCTACGTTTCCTTTGTGACGACTCACTCAGACACGGCCACGACTCGCTCTTGGTAAATTGATATCAGTTAAGGTACTGAAAGGCGGAAAAAGATTAACGACCTTTGTCAATAACTAGACCTCCTCGATCCTCACCGTGGAAAGAAGAGTCCTGAAGTACACGGTTTTGGTCACCTTCTACCCGAGTGGATTACAAGAAGAAGAAAATCAGGCGAACATATTGCGTGGCTGATTGGACCGACGATTTCTTCGTGGAAGTATTTGTACCGTAGTTTTAAAACTATCGACGCTAATAAAATGATTGCAAAGATACAAAAAGTAATGTTCCACAACAGCAATGCAGTGCCGATCCTCGGTATGTGTACGTGGCAGGCAAGTTTCTTCTCTCGCTTCTTCAATCCATTGTTTAATAGTTTTGATTCTGATATATAAGTATAATTTTGTTATTGATTCGTATATATTTTATTGGAAATTGTGGATTTGTTCACAAATATTATTTTCTATATTCACCGTTGGGAAGTAACTCGGTTACTTGTACCGAAATTACAGTTACAGTTACTTTTTTTTGTAACTCTAACTTACACCGAAAAAAATGATATTTGCATCTTAAGAATATTGTAGGTACTTACTTTTATAATACTTTACTCTAAAAGGCGCTAAAAGGATTGTCTTAATTTAAGAGAGGAATTTTCTAAGCAGTTATATATTCTTATCGGATTATTAGATATTCTCCATATATAAAAATATACACTAAATGATACATTTTCCTACATTATTTCATATATTATTTAATATTTGGATCATTAATCATAACAAAAACAGTTCGACAAATAAACATTTACTATTTTTTACAGTACAGATAAAATACAACATAGCTAAATCGATTTTTTTCGACAAGTTATAGCTTTAGCTGCTTCTTTCATTACTGGTTGCTGCTTGCCCTCCTTATTTTCTGTAATCAGAAACTGATAAGATTCTATCAGGAAGGTTAACACGATTCATGAGCTATTCTATTTTATATTTCAAATACCTGCTGAAAAATATGTCCTTCGTATGGCTTATATCTTCTTTTTCTAACCACTCAACCACTTCGTCATCCATTATTTGAGTCAAGATACCGCATTACAGACAACACCCGAAACGTAATGAAACAGGCATTACATTGACACGTACCGAGACGCACTACACGGCGGACATCACGCATACGGAAAGTTCCATCGCTAAAGTTGTTGCGAATTAAGAATACATTCTGAATATTAAGAATATATTCTAAATTTAAGAAGATATTCCGAAAAACATGATGTTAACAAGGAAATATTCTTCTTCGCTAAGTATAGGTATCTATTAAAAGGATTGATGACGTATACATTTCAAGAATACAATTTTTTCGGTGTAACTTCGTTACTTTTCCTCCAGCTGTAACTGTAACATTTTTTCGATAACAAGTAACAAATTTAATAGTTACATTAACAGTTACTTTATATATTTTTTAAACCTCCACAGATCGTATTAGGCCTTGCATTTGCACATAAACGCTTTTATAGACACTTTACAATTCAAACGCAGATTTGATGTTTTTATTTTCATTGCAAGAAAGTAACTGCAAAGTAACGATTCGCTACTTTTTGAGTAACTGTAACTGTAATTGTAACGCGTTACTCTTCAGAATTGGTAACATGTAACTACAACTAATTACATTTTTAGTGAAAAAACTGTAACTGTAACTAGATACTTTTATCAAGTAATTTTCCCAACCCTGCAAAAATATAGCATTAAGTATCAAATGCTTTTGCAACCAGCTTCCTCTGAATCTTTCTTGAAGAAGACAATCGACTTCTAAATAAGTCGCAGATTCCGTTCATTTAAATTTAATTTGATTTTAGCCTAAAGAAGACATCACACAACTTGTTGAATATGCCATCGATAAAGGCTACAGACATTTCGACTGCGCTCATTGTTATGGCAACGAGAAGGAAGTGGGTGCTGCTATCAACGCGAAAATAAGGGAAGGTGTTGTGAAGAGAGAAGACCTGTTTATCACCAGCAAGCTGTGGAATACGTTTCACAGCCCCAATTTGGTTGAACCAGCCATTAAACAGACGCTAGCCGATCTTGGTCTCGATTACATAGATCTCTATTTAATTCACTGGCCATTTGGATTCAAAGAGGGCAATAATCTCTTCCCTCTAAATCCTGACGGTACCTTCACTTTGAGCGACGTAGATTACCTCGATACGTGGAAGGCCATGGAAGGTTTGCTGGCCAAAGGTCTGACGAAAAACATCGGTGTCAGTAATTTTAATTCCGAGCAGATTGCCAGATTACTCAAGAATGCAACAGTTAAACCAGTTACAAATCAGGTAAATCAAGATTGAGAATATCATTGAAAGAAACTTGCCGGCGATATCTAATTACTTTTTAATTCACCATAATTGTACATTTTGTAATAATTAATATATTTTCTGAAAAATCAGAAGTTTGATAAAACATAAAAGAAATCCTTTTTCTTCATCGATGGTTTTTATTTACATAAAAACAAGTGTATAGACTAACCTTTATACCTCTGATACCTTTATTACATTTGTATTGTTTTAGATCGAATGCCATCCATGCTTAACGCAAAATAAACTGTCTGATTTTTGCATGGAAAAGGGTATTCTTATTACAGTGCACAGTCCATACGGGTCACACCAGAGATCTTTGTTCGATTCAAATAATATTCTACAATTGTTATACGACAGGCAAATAAGGAAGCTTGAACGAAAATATCTCAAGTCTGAGGCACAATTACTTATTCGTTATCAAGTACGTTATTACGATATTAAAATGTCTACAAGCATATTTTCCGATAAATTAACTTAACAATTAATTAAAAACTTCGTAATTCTATTTTAAAATTTACAGCATTTATAACAACTAATAGACAACTTTGATATATTGATAATATGTTTATGCGAAGATATAATAATTATTTGCAGCTGGATCGTGGCCATATAGTGATTCCCAAGTCATCTACCAAATTACACATCGCTGACAACTTGGATGTATTCGACTTCGAACTTTCAGTTGACGAAATTATTGATATTGACCAGCCTGATTGCAATGGTAGACTTTATGATATGAAAATGTAAGAACATATCATTAGTTTACATTTATCATTTGTACAAAACAGATAGAAATTAATGTCTAATTAATAATTAGTAATTTCATAGAAATTATTATAGTATATAATACTTGTATCGAGTTGTAATATATTATTAATGTTATTTTTTTATTTTTAGGGCAAGTGCCAGTCCGTATTACCCGTTCCATATTCCATTCTAAGTAATCAAAATGAGTAAGTGAGGCTCCATGTGTGTGTGTCATTTATTCAAGTTTATGCATTAAAGCGCTGCATTTTGAATAATATTTTGTTAATACGATCTCTTTAGATATTAGTTATATGGACGTAGATAAGAGAGAGTAGATTTTTGTGACTAAATATTTTTCAAATATGAATTTTTATATTAATTTTTATATTATAACATGTAATGATACCACATTTTGTAGATGTGTGTTAAAATAAAGGTATTTTTGCACTGAATAACATGCGCAGTTTAGCAATCACAGAAATAAAACTGCAAAATTTCTCGTTGCTGTTGCTATTATCAATTTCCGATTCCGAAAAATGTATCATCCCTGAAATACATATATCTCTGTTCACCAAGTTGCATCGAGCGAAACAGATAATAGCCCAAAGGTGCGGCGTCTGGAAAGTAGGCATAGTGAGAGAGAACTTTTCATCCTAACTTTAATATAATTTCTGCAGTGGTTTTAACAACGTACGGCCAAGCATTATAACTTAGCATATCAATGCGTTTGATCAATAATGCATGAAGTAATATTTTTTTATGAAAACAGTCATATGAATTTATAAAAATCAAAAGGGTCCCACCAAAGTACCTATACTAATCGCTCCTTCGTGAAGGAGTCACCTTACCGACCTAATACTTTTCCATTCTTTACAGTACCTGAAAACAATTGTAAAGCAGTTTTAAAAATCTCTGGTTTTTCTAAGATTGCTTTAAAGTCAGTCTAGAAATATTAAAAAATATATTGAATCACTTTCGATTTGAACGATAACTTTTAAAAACTTTAACTTTACATAAAGTAAATATTTTAAGAGTTCGATGGTGATATTTTAGTATATCGAGATCTATGTATTTATGCTTCGGACCTTGGAATTAAACATGTGCCCATGTATAAGTAACCTGATTACTGTAGTTGTTATGAAAATAAATTCCTACTCTTTTGTGACAACCAACTCTGATACGGCCACGTATCTACCTATATAGACTAGCTCGCGGTAGATTGATATCAGTTGAGGTACCGACAGGCGGAAAAAATTTAACGACGCTTGTCGACAACTAGACCTCAATTCTGCTCAATCCTCCCCGTGGAAGAAAAGTTTTGAAGTACACATTTTGATTCCCTTCTAACCGAGTAAATTAAAAAAAGAAGAAAGTCAGGCGAACGTATGCATTACTGATTGGACCGACGATTTCTTCGTTGTAGATAGATAGATAGATAGATAGATGATTTCTTCGTTGTAGTATTTGTTATCGCATTTCTAAAACTATCGACGCCAATAAAATGATTGCAAATGCACCAAAATTAAAGTTCTACAATGGCAACACAGTGCCGATCCTCGGGCTGGGTACATTTAAGGCAAGTTTCTTTTCTCGCTTTTTCAATTCGTTGTTTCATTTAAATAGTTTTGATATATGGGTATAATTTTGTTATCGATTGGTATATATTTTATGAAAATCGTGGATAACTCTACCTAAATATTATTTGGTATATTCACCGAGTAAACTTACCTCGAGAATTCGTTTCTTATCTGAATACAGCTCTTGTGTCAGTAAGATTTACGGCCGATTGTTCCAACCTCTTGATAAATTAACTAATAGTTAAATCGTATGTATGTTTTTGTTTTTCCTTTAACTCGGATGAAAATAGACATATAATTTAACTATTACCTAACTTACCCCAAGAGGTTGGAAAACCGGCCCTAAAAGTTGGCATTCAGTTTGACTCCGAAGTCCACTTTAGACTTTTTCTTCTTGAGAAATGATACTATAATTAATCGTACATCATATTCCACCTTGAGCTAATAAATTGTTATATGAGTTTATTATTCGAAATTATCGAACTAATACAATTTTTAGCCGTAAGATTTTTTATAAAATATATTTATAAAAACTAAAAGATAAGTGTAGTAGTATGTTTATGTTAGGATTAATTTTAATTTCTTTAATATTTTAATGAGAATTTTTTTTGTCATCTATTTTTTTCAGAAATATAATATGTAAACATGTAACATTAAGTATTAAATGCTTTGACGATCAGCTTCCTCTAAATTTTTTTTTATGAAGACAATCGACTTTTATTGTAAATGAGTCGGATATTCCGTTTATTTGAATTCAACTTGATTTCAGCCTGAAAAAGGAGACATGACACAAATAATTAAAGATGCAATTGATATCGGGTATAGACATTTCGACTGCGCTCATTGTTATGGCAACGAGAAGGAAATCGGCGCTGCTATCAAAGCGAAAATAACGGAAGGTGTTGTGAAGAGAGAAGACCTGTTTATCACCAGCAAGCTGTGGAATACGTTTCACAGCCCTAATCTGGTTGAACCAGTCATCAAACAGACGCTAGCCGATCTTGGTCTCGATTACATAGATCTCTATTTAATTCACTGGCCATTTGGATTCAAAGAGGGCAGTGATCTCTTCCCTCTAAATCCTGACGGTACCTTCACTTTGAGCGACGTAGATTACCTCAATACTTGGAAAGCCATGGAAGGTGTGTTGTCCAAAGGTCTGACGAAAAACATCGGTGTCAGTAATTTTAATTCCGAGCAGATTACCAGATTACTCAAGAATGCAACAGTTAAACCAGTTACAAATCAGGTAAATCAAGAATGAGAATATAATTGAAAGAAACTTGCCGGCGGTATCTAATTATTTTTTAATTCATTGGATAATTGTCAATTTTGTTAATGTTTCATAATAAATTAATTAATATATTATCCGAAAGGTCAAAAGTTTGAGAAAACATAAAAGAAATCCTTTTTCTTTATCGATGGTTGTCATTTATATAAAACAAATGTATTGACTTACCTCTATACCTTTGAAACCTTTATTACACTTGTTATTTTAGGTCGAATGTCATCCATATTTAACACAAAAGAAACTATCTAATTTTTGCAAGGAAAAGGGTATCCTTATTACAGCGTACGGTCCACTTGGGTCACCAGAGAGACATTTTGGCAATGTAAATGTTCCAAATTTGTTGGAAAACAAAAAATTAGTTGAGCTTGGACAAAAGTATAACAAGACTCCTGCACAAATATTTATTCGTTATCAAGTATGTTATCAAGATATTAAGATGTCTACAAGCATATTTTCCGATAAGTTAATTTAATAATTAATTAAAAACTTCGTAAATTTATTAAAAAATTGACGGCATTTATAACAACTAATAGACAACTTTGAAATATTGATAATATGTTTATGTAAAGATTTAACAATTATTTGCAGGTGGATCGTGGCCATATAGTGATTCCCAAGTCAGCTGCCAAATCACGAATTGCTCAAAACATCGATGTATTCGACTTTACACTTTCACCTGAGGACATTACTTATATTGACACGTTTGATTGCAATGGAAGAATTTTTAATTTTCAAACGTAAGAACTTATTACTAATCTACGATTATTATTTGTACAAACAATATTATTAATTAATGATTAATAATTTTATAGAAATTATTGCATATAATACTTGTATCAAGTTGTAATATATTAATGTTTTTTTTCAGTGCAAGCACCAGCCCGTATTATCCGTTCCATATTCCATTCTAAATAATCAAAATGAGTGAGTGAGGCTCCATGTGCGTGTGTCATTTATTCAAGTTTATGCATTAAAGCGCTGCATTTTGAAACACCAGTATTAATTTGTGCGTATAATATATAATGTATAATATTTTGTTAATACGATCTCTTTAGATATTAGTTATATGGACGTAGATAAGAGAGAGTAGATTTTTGTGACTAAATATTTTTCAAATATGAATTTTTATATTAACTTTTACATTATGACATGTAATGATACCACATTTTGTAGATGTGTGTTAACATAAAGGTATTTTTGCACTGAATAACATACGCAGTTTAGCAATCACAGAAATAAAACTGCAAAATTTCTCGTTGCTGTTGCTATTATCAATTTCCGATTCCGAATGTATCATCCCTGAAATACATATATCTCTGTTCACCAAGTTGCATCGAGCGAAACAGGTAATAGTCCAAAGGTGCGGCATCTGGAAAGTAGGCATAGTGAGAGAGAACTTTTCATCCTAACTTTGATATGATTTCTGCAGTTGTTTTAACAACGTACGGCCAAGCATTATAACTTAGCATACCAATGCGTTTGGTCAATAATGCATTAAGTAATATTTTTTTATGAAAAATGTCATATGAATTTAGGAAAATCAAAGTGGTCCCACCAAAGTACCCATACTAATCGCTCCTTCGTGCAGGAGTCACCTTAACGACCTAATACTTTTCCATTTTTTACAGTACCTGAAAACAATTGTAAAGCAGTTTTAAAAATCTCTGGATTTTCTAAGATTGCTTTAAAGTCAGTCTAGAAATATTAAAAAATATATTGAATCACTTTCGACTGGAACGATAACTTTTAAAAACTTTAACTTTATATAAAGTAAATTTTTTAAGAGTTCGATGGTGATATTTTAGTATATCGAGATCTATGTATTTATGCTTCGGACCTTGAAATTAAACATGTGCCCATGTATAAGTAACCTGATTACTGTAGTTGTCATGTGAAAATAAATTCCTACTCTTTTGTGACAACCAACTCTGATACGGCCACGTATCTACCTATATAGACTAGCTCGCGGTAGATTGATATCAGTTGAAGTACCGACAGACGAAAAAAATTTAACGACGCTTGTCGACAACTAGACCTCAATTCTGCTCAATCCTCCCCGTGGAAGAAAAGTTTTGAAGTACACATTTTGATTCCCTTCTAACCGAGTGAATTAAAAAAAGAAGAAAGTCAGGCGAACGTATGCATTACTGATTGGACCGACGATTTCTTCGTTGTAGTATTTGTTATCGCATTTCTAAAACTATCGACGCCAATAAAATGATTGTAAATGCACCAAAATTAAAGTTCTACAATGGCAACACAGTGCCGATCCTCGGTCTGGGTACATTTAAGGCAAGTTTCTTTTCTCGCTTTTTCAATTCGTTGTTTTATTTAAATAATTTTGATATATGGGTATAATTTTGTTATTGATTGGTATATATTTTATGAAAATCGTGGATAACTCTACCTAAATATTATTTGGTATATTCACTGAGTAAACTTACCTCGAGAATTCGTTTCTTATCTGAATACAGCTCTTGTGTCAGTAAGATTTACGGCCGATTGTTCCAACCTCTTGATAAATTAACTAATAGTTAAATCGTATGTATGTTTCTGCTTTTCCTTTAACTCGGACGAAAATAGACATGTAATTTAACTATTACCTAGCTTACCAAGAGGTTGGAAAAACCGGCCCTAATAGTTGGTATTCAGTTTGACTCCGAAGTCCACTTTAGACTTTTTCTTCTTGAGTAATGATATTATAATTAATCGTACATCATATTCCAACTTGAGCTAATAAATTGTTATATGTGTTTATTATTCGAAATTATTGAACTAATACAATTTTTAGCCGTAAGATTGTTTTATAAAATATATTTATAAAAACTAAAAGATAAGTGTAGTAGTATGTTTATGTTAGGATTGATTTTAATTTCTTCAATATTTTAATGAGAATTTTGTCATCTATTTTTTTCAGAAATATAATATGTAAACATGTAACATTAAGTATTAAATGCTTTGACGATCAGCTTCCTCTAAATCTTTCTTGAAGAAGACAATCGACTTCTATTGTAAATGAGTCGGATATTCCGTTTAGTTGAATTCAATTTGATTTTAGCCTAAAAAAGGAGACATGACACAAATAATTAAAGATGCAATTGATATCGGGTATAGACATTTCGACTGCGCTCATTTTTATGGCAACGAGAAGGAAGTGGGTGCTGCTATCAACGCCAAAATAAGGGAAGCTGTTGTGAAGAGAGAAGATCTGTTTATCACCAGCAAGTTGTGGAATACGTTTCACAGCCCCAATCTGGTTGAACCAGTCATCAAACAGACGCTAACCGATCTTGGTCTCGATTACATAGATCTCTATTTAATTCACTGGCCATTTGGATTCAAAGAGGGCAGTGATCTCTTCCCTCTAAATCCTGACTGTACCTCCACTTTGAGCGACGTAGATTACCTCGATACTTGGAAAGCCATGGAAGGTGTGTTGTCCAAAGGTCTGACGAAAAACATCGGTGTCAGTAATTTTAATTCCGAGCAGATTACCAGATTACTCAAGAATGCAACAGTTAAACCAGTTACAAATCAGGTAAATCAAGAATGAGAATATAATTGAAAGAAACTTGCCGGCGGTATCTAATTATTTTTTAATTTATTGGATAATTGTCAATTTTGTTAATGTTTCTTAATAAAATAATTGATATATTATCTGAGAAGTCAAAAGTTTGATAAAACATAAAAGAAATTCTTTTTCCTTATCCATGGTTGTTATTTATATAAAACAAATGTATTGACTTACCTCTATACCTTTGAAACCTTTATATTACACTTGTTCTTTTAGATCGAATGTCATCCATACTTAACACAAAAGAAACTGTCTGATTTTTGCAAGGAAAAGAGTATTCTTATTACAGCGTACAGTCCACTTGGGTCACCAGAGAGATATTTTGGCAATGTAAATAATGTTCCAAATTTGTTGGAAAACAAAAAATTAATTGAGCTTGGACAAAAGTATAACAAGACTCCTGCACAAATATTTATTCGTTATCAAGTATGTTATCAAGATATTAAGATGTCTACAAGCATATTTTCCGATAAGTTAATTTAATAATTAATTAAAAACTTCGTAATTTTATTTTAAAATTGACAGAATTTATAACAACTAATAGATAACTTTGAAATATTGATAATATGTTTATGTAAAGATTTAACAATTATTTGCAGGTGGATCGTGGCCATATAGTGATTCCCAAGTCAGCTGCCAAATCACGAATTGCTCAAAACATCGATGTATTCGACTTTACACTTTCACCTAAGGACATTACTTATATTGACACGTTTGATTGCAATGGAAGAATTTTTAATTTTGAAATGTAAGAACTTTACTAATTTACGATTATTATTTGTACAAACAATATTAATAATTAATGATTAATAATTTTATAGAAATTATTGCATATAATACTTGTATCAAGTTGTAATATATTAATGTCTTTTTTTCAGTGCAAGTGCCAGCCCGTATTATCCGTTCCATATTCCATTCTAATTGTAAGTAATCAAATTGAGTGAGTGAGGCCATGAGCCATTATACCTGTATTATATATTTTACTAAACTGCTTGCTTTAAAACACTGCATGTCTTAAAACATTATTTTTAATTTGTGCTTATAATATATATATATAATAATTTTGTTTTAATATTTCCTAATATATATTATTTTTATGAGTATAAGTAAGAGAGAGTACATTCTTATCAAATATTTGTCAAATATTAGTGTTAATAAAACATATAATTGTATAAAAATTTATACACGTGTGTTAAAAGTTTTTCAGGGTTGAGAGTAACTCGTTACTTGTAACGAAGTTACAGTTTCGATTCAAGTTTCTAATATAAAATTCAATTTTATCCAAACCTTGTATACATATATTTATATGTATTAAAATTAAATAATTTTTTCACTGCCTAAAAGAGCATTGGTGGTGAAGTTTGCTGACAAATGTTAATAATAAATGTTTAAGTGTTATATTGTTTTTATAAATTATCGTTGGCTTCGCAACCACAGGAACAACACTCACAGAATTCCTCATCGTCGCTGTTACTGTCTTCTATTTCCGATCCGGAGTGCAGCATCCCCGAAGGCACTGATTGAGCCTCATCCAACGATTTAATATTGCAATCACACGGTGGAGTTGACAGTTCGTCTCTTAGTTGTTCTTCGCAATCATATCTGCAGGTATTAAGACGTTTGCACGCGGCAGGGGTCGTGCACTCGTCGCACGTTTTACCGGGGTCACACGGTATCGAAGATTGCGCTGATTGTTTAGGTGGCCGCGGTACACCTGAAAATTTACACAATTAAATATTAATTTTATGCAAAACGCACTTACGTTTCCATAAATGTTTGTGCTACGTAGAATATTCCTAACAAAATTTGAAGAAGACGAGTCGCATACCTGTTTTCGAGACGCTAAAGAGGGATTCGCAAGGAGGCTTCGAACACGGAGACTTGGATTTGAGTACAGCGGAAGGAACCCGTCGGCAAGATTTGCAACAAACGCAATCACGCGATTTGTCCGCAGTTGCGCGAGACGCGCGACGGTCCAGCGGGACGCAGCATGGGAGCGGATACAATTTGTCGCACGCTTCGAATTGTCTTTTCGACGCCTCTTCGCGAGCAGTTAACTTTATCGATGTTGCACACGGACAGCAAGCCTTTTACGTTAGGAGACACATGTGAAATCGGGAATAGATAAATACTGTCCATGCCCTTACTACTCACTCGTTTCTTATCTTCAGGATTGTATGTCTTCTTCGTCGCGTGTTTATTAAATGTGTAATCTTCGAAAGGTTCAAATAACTTTTTACCAGGTCCCCTCGATTTTTGCACGCGTTCCGTTTGCACTTTTCCGCCGTCGCGCTGAAATTTCTTGCAGGACAGCAACTTGCCCATTTGCCGTCTGTACATGAGTTCTTTACTTTCCAGCTCTCTGATACAATTCTTCAGTTTCAATTCTTCCTCAGCGAGTTGACGGATCTTTCTCAGGCATATCAGATCTTCGGAGTGGATGGAGTGTAGACTAGGTGTACTGCGTCTTTGTATTTCGTTGCGCAAACCTGCCAATTTATCCTCCATCTCCTTGTTAGCCAGCTCCAAGGACTCCAGCTCCATGCCAGTTTCCTCTAGTTTCACATCCGCGTCTATGATCTTGTCCTGCATCAATAGAAAGTTGATTGTGAATTTCCGTCGCAGAAATTATTAATCTGTTACATTTGCAATCCTTTAATTTTCGAACGTTATTCCATGATAGCGTGTAGAGTTACTAAATTGTATATATAGTTTTACGTATCTTAAACACACGTTTTAGGCCGGTATTCAGTCAGATCTTACCCAGATAGCACACATAGTTCTATGAATATTCTTCTGGAGTGCGAATATGCTTAATTTCGCAATATTCGAATTGAATATTCTATAAATATATATAGATTATTACAATTAGAAATTATCGTATATTCATAACAAAGAAATCGTATATTCATAACAAAGAAGAACGTTTTTCAAATGTTTGTCGAGAATATTTAGAATAGTCGTTCAGAATAATTGTTGAATATTCATTGAGTTTATGTATTGCGCATTGTTTATTGTGTAATACATTTGTCTTATGCAAAAGGCAGTGAAACCAGTGAGTATACCATATACATTAACCCACACGCTCTATTCGATAGATTATTCTATTCACATTCGAAAAAGATTTATAGTAATGACAAATTTAATAATTTTACACTCGCCAGTAATAAAGTAACCAAAACTTCAATTTTTTCTCGACGCATTATTTTACTAATATTAAATAATGTAAATGGCATTACTATAAATTAAATAATTTATAGTAATGCCAGTCGAATGTTCCACAAATATAAAATAAATATATAAGAATGACCTATGGAATATTCCAAATATTCTTGAAGAATATTCTCAAAATGCTCATAGGAGTGTTTTGTGCTATCTGGGTATACATAGTAAAAAATAAAATGTTAATGTTAATGTTTTTTACATGTGCGTTGCTTTTTTACAAATTATACATGTTAATTGATTAACGATATACTTCACGTTTATGATTATGTTCTTTTAACCTCGAGCGTGATAAAAGCTGCCAGGATAAGTAAATTGTACGAATAGTTACAAATTAGAATAGTTAAAATAATGTTTAAGAAATGTGCGAAAAGAATTTAAAATGATATTCAATTTTCAAATGACGTACGTAAAGTGTCAAGCTATTATGTTAACATAAATATAACACATAAAAATGTTACGAAATTAACAACATGTCTGTTTTATGTTAATTTTACGTTTGAAATAATAATCGAATCTTGGTAACACAAGAAAATTTTAACATCTGAACACACGATTTTTGTATTGCTGTGTGTTCAAGACTGTCTTGAGATCATCTTTAGATTCTCCGTAGTCAATAAAATTCCATACAGCATCTTTAATAAATTCAAGACGGTCATGAATTTAAGATCTGAGACTATAAATATCGGCCTTAAATATACAATATGTATTATACATATATTCTTCACGTTATATTTTATAGACACTGTATTTTACATCATTTGTACGTTAATATAATTCCTCAACTGATTTTCATCTCTGTGTAAAATTTCAAACGTGTACACTTTAATATGCATTACATGTTACATCGCATCTATGTTACTGGCACTACTGTCAGAAAGCTAGTTTTAGATTTAGAGGCGGTACTCTTCGATCTTTACGCTCCCTCGCATAATAATTTTATTCTAAGAAATAAATGCTACCGCCGCACATGAATACGGGCAGCCATACTTTTACTTTAAAAACCTATGTTAAACTTCCTTGTAAAAAAGATTGCTCTATTTACATTTAAAGTGGTATCATGTTTAAAACACTCCTTCAAACGCAAATAACGACCCCGAAAACGAGCTAGCGTCGCGTTGTATAATTTTCACATTAAAAAAAGCACACTGGCAAAATTTACCCGGATTATTATCGTCGAATGTCAATCGTGCCGTACATGCAACTGTGCCGTTTCCCGGTGGAGGCCGTCGACCACGTCTTTCAAATCGGCGAGCAGCCTGTCGGCGGGGTCTGGCTGCGGCGAGAGCCTGTTGACGATCTCCCGCACTTTGTCGCACGGCCCATCGCGGCTATCTCTTTCAGTCATCCACATGCTGTATGCCATCAGAGCCGGGATGGAGCGTTCCATCGTGGCAACTTTGTTCCTGAGCTCACGGTGACGGCCGATCAGGTCGCACCGACGTTCCTCGATCTCGGACGCGACGTTCGCCAACGGCGAGTCATGCGCTTTCGCGAAAAGAGAAGTCATCGTTATTTCCATTTCATTTAGCTGGAATAGTTTTAACCGAGCTAACTGAGACTCGCCCTTGAGCGTCGAATGGGATGCCGTTCACTTATCTATCGAAACCGTCCGATAAACAATGAATAAGGGACAAATTGGACAAGATTACTCACCAGTTTTAGTCGACATCCCGATGGATCCTGTTAAGGCGCACGAGGACGAAACTGGTCGCACGGACGCCGGCGGTCCGCGGGTTGTTTTCTACTTGAGACTTTCGAATTGGAGCGCAAAAGAATGGAAATAGCGGAGCTGCTTCCGCCGGAGAACAGCGTTGAACGAAGTTTCCGGGCTCGATGAGGTTGTGTGCATAGCTTTTGTCGACAATATCAGTACGGTGGCGATGTTGTCGAGAATAGGTATTTCAATTGCCGCAGGTTGTTGCAAATTGAATGCGGATCGATCTTCGGGCGCGTATCGAGATCGGACCGTGCGAAACAAATGAAAATTTTGACACGTACTCTCGGCAAATTCTCTCTCCGGCTCCGGCGTTTCTGTTAACCAAACCGCATTTCCACAGTTAAGTATCACGGTCGTTCTCTCGGGCAGATTATTGTGCAGAATGATATAAGTCGATTATCTCATTGCAAAAGCCGAGGACAGAGTTCGCCGGGATATCTGAAATCTGGAGCACGCGGCCACGTGCGGCCAAACGAGCCACAATGTTGTTACCACTCGGCTCATTCAAGAGTACGAGATTGTATCAAGTGACTTAGGACTTAAGACACTTCCTGTTATAACTGTTAACGAATGAGTAATTTATTTACGTAACATTCCGTGCGATTGTTGCAAACGAGATTCCACTGCTTCACCTTAGACAAATGACCTTCCATTGCTTCATCTCGCGCGTGTGTGCACGTACATAGGTACATTCGAGAGAAAAACGTTAGAATGCTTATATGCCTCATTAATTAGCATGGAATGTCCTGCGTGGCTTTTTCTGAAGGCACAAACGGTGAAAGGATTTGCCTTTAGAGAATTAATGTTTGCATAGGAAACTGGAGGAGTCGACGACGCGGAGAGAGGCAGACGACGATGATTTTTCACTGGTAACTGTAACAAGCGCGTCCCTCCAGGAGAGCACCGGCAGCACCCTCACCGGGTCCATCTACACGAACTGGGAGGAAAAATTCGCGTGTCGCGCGCTACAGGGTCGAGGCCGCGTCTTCAGCTACCGAAAGAGGAGGACCCACGTCGGCGATGGAGTCTTCAACGCGCCGGCTGGCGTCTGTCCACGTCGCGCTACCTCGTCGATCATTCGCCGTAATACAGGTCGAACGTTGCTTAACACGCAATTAGTAAGATTTGCATTTCGAGTAAACCGAGATGGCTCTACCGCAACTCAGCCGAAGTCTGCAAATGACGTTGAAATGGGCTCAAAGTGCCAAGTGTATCCCGTATCTTTTGTCTAGTTGGTTGTTGCCCGACGCAGATGACGCGGCAAACGGGGCAAAGGCTAAGATTGCTTTTCGGGATTACGAATGGCTGAATTAGTACGCTTTTCATTGCAGGTGATTCCCGGCTCGTGTTCGTCTGGCCGCAGAAGGCCAGCAGGGGTCGACTCTCGAACGTTCTTGCGCCCCTGCTGCGGGGTGCTCTGCTCGGACTGTTGTTCGTAGACGCCCTTCACTTGTGGCCTGGAGAATTTTTACCCACGTCTCTACCATCGACCATGCCGATTACGCTGCCGCCTGCAAAGTGCAACATCATCGAGCCGCGTTGGTACGATAACAATTGAGTTATGGCCGAGATACGTAATCATGTTTGCGTAAACATACGTTTGCAATAGTGTAAAAATGCGATAGTGCAATTTGACCGAAACATCGTACAATCTTCAATGAAGATAAAATTATTTCGCCCGAAGGCCTTTCTGAGCCTTTAAAACGCGCTTGGAGTTCTTTTTCTCATAAGAAGAAACTTGCACTCGGAAAGAGAATTTTGTACGGTTTTACGCAGATAATAGTCTCTGGAATTAAAAAGATTTTATTGGTCTTCATAATTGACCGGTTTATATTATCGAAGATAATACTTTAATAATGTTCCCGATGTCGTGCCATAAAATTGCAATTATATTGATGCAATATATTGATTGCAATAAAAAACCAATTGAAGAAATCATTACTCCAAGACATAACACACGAGTATTGATAATATCATGCGTTAAAACCTTCGGACGGATTGTAAAATTTCTTCATATCTGCTTTTCCAATTTCCTTGTAACTTGATGATTATCTATTCTCCTATTATGAACAATAGAAATGTTCTTCGGTTATTTGTCAGCTCACAATAATTGTGCGTTGCAATTCATTTGTGAAATAAATGCCATATGTACACACATGGCATTGCAGCCGTAACATTTGAGATATGCCCGAGTTTAATTTCTACATTTATTTTAATAAAACCGCAAATTTATCACGTGAGTCCAGAACTAGTTTCCGTTCCAATAAATAGAGCGCGAACATGACTGTTCAATAACGAAATAATTCCTCTCGGAAACAGAAGCAAGAAGAAACAAATGTAAAAAGTCAAAGGCGAAATAAATACGAGTGATACAGAAACTTATCTATAAGAAGTTTTAATTTACTCTTTGAATAACTAATCCATGAAGCGTAGAATGTACAGGGTGCTCCGCAACTTTTTGACTGCCGTTTACGGGAAGGTAGAGGGGACTAAGACAAACAGAAAAGTCCTCTACCATTTTTCTATATACCATCCTATGATGATAAAGAATGATGATGAATAGAAGATGATAATATAGTATACCTATATACAGGGTGTCAGATTCGATATGGACGACCCCAAAGATTATAGTAGATTGGGTTAAACTGAGAAGAAAAGTTATATAAAATTTTACAAAATCGTAATTATTATCGCCTAATTCAGAAAAACGTCTGAGCCAATAAGTGCACGGAGAAGCGGAAGGCCGGACTCGGCAGCATGCAAAATGGTGTGTTTGTTGACATCTCTAGCGAACGCGTTCGCCCGCTGACTGCTCCCCGCTCCCCGCTCGCCGCCGTCTCTCATCGATCGATGCGTGACTCCACCTCTCGCTATCGATTTTTGAGAGATGTCAACAAACACACCATTTTGCATGCTGCCGAGTCCGGCCTTATTGGCTCAGACGTT